ACCATAAATATTACTTGTCAGTGTAGACAACGTAGCGCCAATAGCTGTTTCGGGCACAGGCCACCAATCTAGTGGCTGTCAATTCGAATCCCGACATTCGACTGTCGTAAACCATATCGTAACACAGGATTTTAAAAGCTTACCAGGAATGGTTACAAGAAACATTAGTAACATTAACAAAATCTACTAATATTATAAGAGGAAAGGTTTGTGTATTGTATGTATTGAAATAACTCAAAAACTACTGGAGTACTACTTTCACATTTCTTTCAGCATTAAAAAGTACATTATCCGTAAGTAACATAAGCTATATCGGGATCAACGTATAGCAGGTATTTTATAAAAAAAAGAATTTGAATTTGAGAGGATAATCATTTGAGAAAGTTTATCATAATTCAATAGCCTATTGTGTAAATATTGCTTAAGTAAAAGTAATCTTGAGGACAGTTATAGAAAGTGAATACTGAAGTGACTAATGTTAGCTTTACAATCAATAGAAATGAGGATATTTAGTTTTAATTAGAAAGTTATCCAATTGTAATCGAACTCTGAAATATATTTCTGATGAAAGAGATTAGAAGAGTATAAACTGTAATCCGTGTGATTTATACCAATAAAAAACAATGATCCTACGTTTTTTTAGTGTTAATTAATCTGTACTCTTGATGTTTAAGTTATTGGCAAACATTTCTTATTCATTTTTATTCCTTGTGTTAGGAATAAAATTAGTACCGTGCTATAGAATTGGCGCAACTCTAGATTATCGGCATAAACGTCACGTCCCTAGCTGACAGCTGTCAATGTCACTAGAAGTATGGATAGATTTGGCGCGCATCGAGAGTCTGGCGAGAAGTATTGCTCTGAGTTTAAAGCGACAGTATCAATTAAATAAGTTTTCTAATACTTGCAAACATGACGAGAAACATACTTTGTGTTATAATGATGTTAGTTGTTACATTATAATACGAGCAATATTGACATCTAAATGTATAATATTTATAAGAAGAGTAACAATCTGTATGATATTTATTAAATAATTGTGAAAAATAAAGGAAACTGAGAAGGAAGTTTATATTTCTTTAGATAATATTTGAATCTACGTACTTCAAAGTATAACGGTAATGTATTTGTATAAGAATTAAAAAAACAAAGTCTTTGTTCTAGTAGACGCAACTTTAACTACATACTTTATAAAAATACAGTCTTGTACAATATCGTAATTCATCAATACTAACTTCCTCGTTATCTTACTCCCGTAGGGTCAGCACGACAGTTTTTCGTCCTCCAAACAACTCTATCATCCGTCATCTCATTATCTTCTTGATCACGTTACTTTTTATGCAATATATCCATCTCTTCCTAAATATGTTTTTGGACATTATAACCTAAAATAAATTGTCTTATTTAAGATTATTTTAGAACTTTTGTGCTAAGAAATTATGACAAAACAAGGTGAAATAAACGTTAGGCTGCTCTACCAGAAAAAATATTCTAGTCTTATAACCTTTGTTATTCGTGACCGAAGCGAATTGGTAAGCTAACTAGTATTAAATATACCGCTAGTTAAAATCATTTTGGATAGACAATGTTATCGATATGAAATAAAAATTCTCATCGATTTTGTCGATTAATATGAATATAAACAACGAATAAATCCAAAGCAATTATAATTGTAGGTCACGGTTAACTTGTGCTTGTTCTCTATAGATATAAACACCGAACAAGATTTCTTAAGAGTATACTTAATAGCAAATGTTAAAAGTTATTGCTGTCTTTATTTTTGTAAAAAGATTGAAGTAGATGAAACATTCAAACGAGGGTTCACTATGACTCATCCTCTGTAAAATATGTATTCACTTAAGCAATATTGTACAATTCTTATATATGTCAATACAATATTGTCACCAAAAGCCGTGAATTTGTGATACAACCTCGCGGAAATAAGACAGCGGGCAATATAACTGTTATTTACATCCGGTTGTTCTACTATAGTAATGTCTTCCGGTAATATCCAAGCTGAGCCTGATTTTGTAACTCTAACTTGGAAGAAGATAAACTGATAATTTATACATCTATCGGCAAATATTTTTAAATCATACCTTGTGCCATATTTCTAACTTAACGACCATGACATTATTGTTGACATGAGTTAAATGTATCAATTTTTGTTTAAGCTAAAACTGATCTATGAAAAGGAAACTATTTTTTTTTAAGTAGCCTTCCTTCTTTAGTGATTATGTAAGAATCTAGAACATTCTTCAATAAGAGTTTAAGAAATGTGTTCTTTTATTAAGAAAACACCAACGCATATCAACTAATAGCCAATTTCGTCAACAGTCTCTTCCTGTGACACTGCAGAGAAGATTCTAAACGATTTCGAGCCAATGTCAAAGTCAACATTACGCTTTAAACAGCGTAACAAATTGCGGTAATCGCTTACGTGGGTTTTAGTCAATTGTGTATGATGTCGCAAAGAGATAACAATCTTTATTGTATTATTAAAAACAAATTAGTATTGTTGTTATAATGGAACTGCCTATCTCATATCATAATACATTCTGTTACACAAATCTAATTTACGAAATATTATTTGATTACTACAGAACTACATAAACAAACAATTACGCAGAATTACTAACATTATGCTATTTTAGAAATGCAATTTTTATATTGTGTCCGACAAGTAATTTGCTGGAATTACCTTTTACGATTTCGATTAATCTTTACGACATAGGTGCATATTTTAAATTTCAACTTCCAGCGATTAACAAATTATACAGATACAAGAATATTGGCAGACATGAACAACATTAAACACTTGAAACATAAAGGTAATCAAAAAAGAAATATACGATTACCATCGCATTAATAGATTTGTCATTTTATACACGTGGTGTCATTGATCCAGCAAAATGGCAGAAGCGCAACCGTAACAAGTGGGTCGGTCACCGAGACCGCGTCTCGGCTGAGCGGTCAACAGCCATCGGCCATCATCCGATACATTTCATCACACGATATCAAATAACACCTGACAAATAATACCACTGCAATGAGAAATTTCTAATGAAAGTAAGTGAAATTTATAAACACGTTACATTTACTTTACATCTTATACTTTATTAGAAAGAAGAAAGATTTGTATTTTGTTTGTAACGACTGAAAAAACTACTGAATCGATTTCAAAAAAATGTTTTATTACAACTAAGTAAAATAGGCTACATTTTTTATTATCTTTTTTATTCCTCGCGGGCAATCTATTATCAATAGAGACGCCTTCGGGATGCTTGTCTGACAACATACTGTACTATAGAACAATATTATCCGAAACATAGTAAAACATAAAAATTCAATCTAGAAAGATACAGGAATGTCCTAGTTGAACCATGCAGAATTAGATAATCTCCATTGAACTTTACTACTAAGTATGTTTGTCAAGTATTTCATTTTGCATACATATTTCCATGTACGAACAATACATACAAATTATGTTAAACGTATTCAGATTGTTAATAGCTTACCTAATACAAAATATGTAAACAAGTTTAACGTACCTTTCATAAATTCTAAAATTACTTGACTACTGTATCGGTGTTAATTGTGTATTGAATACATAGCGTGTTTATTTTACTACGACGTATTTGTACTAAATTATTAATTAACATGCTGTTGATACTTTGTATAATGTTTCTATTAATACTGGTTGGAATTATTTATAAATAAATCATCACGAACAAAGCGAAATAGAACCGAAGATAGAGAAAATGCAGGAACACAGGCTATACAGTAACGTTATTTGAAATATCCCTCTTCAAAAGTTATTTTAGTTCACAGAAAAATAATCTTTATTTACTTTTTTAATTCCAAAGAAAAAACGTAATAGAAACGTGTTTAATGGCAAATTTTAGTCACACATTCACAATTTGCTACAGTTAACTGTTTTTATAAAAATTTAAAAGTTTGTAAGACAGTGAAAGACTACATTGAGATTACAAATATCGCCAAACCTCGGCCAAAATAGACAACGAATAAAACAATAGGTGATCATTTGAACTAAATTTGGCTCGAGGAAACTCGATTTTAATGATGCTGTCAAGAATCATATTTTAACAATGTTCTGATAGGTCACCAGACCTATTCCAAACACTGTGTATACGTAGATATGTTTAGGTTGAGTACATGGTTAAGATTTAATTATTTGACAAATAATAATGTAAATTGCATACTAGACTTTATCTATAATTACATGTAACAGGCTTAAAAACAACTTTAGACTGTACAATGATACTAATTCTATTTACTCATGTTTGTAGACGAGTTTAACGACAAGTTTTTTGTAAGTTTTATAGACGAATAACTAGCAGCAACCCAATTCTAATGTGACGGGGCGACTGGCCACAAGGCTGGAGTTACTTATTATGGAAGGCCTTAAAACATGACCTTGTAAATACTGCAACAGATTACCAACTGCCTATCCAAACACAATCATGGTTACTAATTTTGACAAATGACTTCAAGTGACACAATTAGCAAAATATTCTATGACTGTATCCTTTTATTTCATTACATTATGGACTCTATCTTACATAATAATTAGTAGCAAGAATTAATTTTATTGCACGCGATAAAAAATTTATGCTGTTTTAATGGATATCTAACACGGTGGTCTATTTAAATAAAACTTACCGTCGTTTCATATTCACTCTAATATTATAAAGAGGAAAGGTTTGTATTTTTGTTCGATTCACGTAAAATCTACGAGACCGAATTAATTTTTTTTCACCCTTATCTGTGAATAACATTGGCTATGTTTTTTATTTCACGCGGACGATCACGAGCAAAAGCTAGTTCACAATACACAAGCATTTTGTTATTTTTGTTTTTTTTGTGACTTAAAGAAAGGGATGACACAACAAAATATTTACTTCTTTTAAGAGTGGATAAAAATAAGACAACGAGAACACAGTTATAAAGTCAAATAAACAAACTTGTTATTATTGCAGGTGTACGTGAATGCCGGGCCGTATGGATGGCGACGCAAGTCTGGCGCTCGCTCGCCCTGCTGCTGTTTACCACATCGCTTGTTATAGCTAGATGTATGTATTGCATTCACTAGTAAAACGATCGTTGAAGTTAAAAACATCTTAATATTTTCCGACTGCAATAGCTTTTTACAAATCTTTATATTTCAAACCTACAAGAAACAGGATGTCCGTTAGAGCACTCATAGTGTAAGAATACTCACGAATATCTCTTGTACCAGTATAAAGTTGTTATTTAGTTTCCCACCATCTTGATCGTTGGGAGCGGCCTGCTTTCGTCCATAGTAGGCCGCAACAGGCTTCGCATACCGCCCCACAATGGATCAAGGTCACTCGGTACAGCAAAAAGTAGACTGTACTCGTCTACCCGGAGACGCCTGTCGACATTTAGGTCGCCCAGTCTGAGCAAAACCAAAGCACAATGTCCATAATTCACAATGTTTTATACGCTCTTTCACTTTTACTCAGAAACAATATGGATTTGTAGAACTTGAGAAATGTTTTTAAACATACAAGATTTCTGAACATACAACTAAATTAAAGCAATTTCGCAATAGACAGACACTTTAAGCAGTTTAAACTATTGCAAAAGTTGAATCGAAACGTTGAAAAAGATAAAGTTTTTACAAGCAAAAATCGATCGATTATATGCAAAAATAACATATGATTTTCATTTACTTACTAAACTAATGTCACTTGTATGGTGTGATATGAATCACAACAGGATTACACAATCCTTAAATCTCTCAATTTGATTCCGTTACTTTCTCTAGAGTTCTCGCTTGCCTTATTTGTCTTTTATCTGTTTATTACAAAAATGTTTTCACGTCCCTTATATAATTTCGCAAAACATTACAAAATAGGTGATTATTAAATTATGTCAGGGTATACCACACGCGCAACACATTAAGTCGGTCAATTATTTAAGCAATACTTTTGTCTGTATTAAGCATTGTAACAAATACATAGTTCTAACTTATTATTAAAAGCAGTTTGTATTCTGATAATAATGCAATCATTTAACTTACCTGTACCAATCCATTTTAGAATTCGTCTTTATTAATGTTTTATTTAGATGCAGAGTTAGAGGCATGGCGAGGTGCGGGGCGGCCGGCCACCGCGGCGCAGGAGGCAGAGGACGAGCGCAAAGACGCGGAACTCCTGGCGGCAGTACGGAACTCTATACACCAATGGGAACTTAAAAAAGCACGCACAAGGTACTACAAACTCATGTTACACTACTATCAGAGATGCTATTCCTGGTTGTATCTTCAACGCTCTTACTCAGTCGCAGTTCTGTTATAACATATATTTCTTTCCCTTATCAAATCTATAGTTTTATTTGTCATTCAAGGCAGTATTATAGGTTGAAGGTTATTTCTCATGATCCTGGCGCACATATCTCGACCATACATGTATAGCATCATATTTTTAACTCGTTTATGTATGTACAAATGTAAACATTCTGAATACGGAAATCGTAGATATTTATTGCGGTGACGAACATCTCAAACAATAAGATAATTTCCGTAAGTTAAAAGCTGTAAGTAACTATACTCATATTTTACACACAATGCATCCAGCGTCGTCACGCCTCTTGAATACTAAAACTTATTTTTTATTCTTGTAATGGATTTTATACAATAAACATTACTTTAAATTGGACATCGTGTATTTGCGATGTCATTATTAATCCTATAAAATGATTCTGCGTAAAAACATTCTGTAAAAGTTAGTCAAAGGTTGGTTGTTTTCTTAAACCCCTGAACTCTGTTGGTGAATTAATGCTTTTTCCCACAAAACAAAACGAGCAACCCCATTATAAAGCTTTCTCTTAAATTTACACGTTTCAATTGTAAGTTCTTTTGTTTCTACTCTAATGCGAAATAACATTATTGTTCTCACGGAAATAACGTCGACAACACAAAAAGTAACTAATACATAAATGAGTACACTATCAAGATGGAGAATTTATCATAGCTTGCTTAGAATAATCTACAACTTAATCGACAAAACAGGTAATAAAAGTCATTAAAAGTTGATCTATGTAAAAAGATTTTTGGCGCGCTCTAGTTAACCGGACATTTTTTTTACACGCAAATAAATTAAACTAAAACAGTGCTGTTCCAATAATTTTTCATACTTTCATCATTTTGATTGAGTTAAGATTTACTGCTCACTTTTTTGTATAGTGCAATATGGTTTTAATTTACTAAGGGTCTGTCCCACCACTGGCTGATAGAGGTTCAAATGGCTTAAAAATAAGTCACTATCAAGAAAGATAACAAAATATTTCCATCACATATTTTACACATTGGATTGTTATCAGACAATTTAAAATTTGGTGGGACAGGTCCTAAGTCGTGTTATACCTTAACCAGGACGAAGAGGTCGCAAGGTAGTGTCTGCTACGGACAGTTCGGTTGCTTCGAAGACTCAGGACCCTTCGCGTACCTGGAAACACTGCCAAGTCCCCCGCAGGAGGTCGGCACCAACTTCCTCATGTATTCTACAATGAACAGGTTCGTTTTGTGCTGGCTTTCGCCTGGAGAGATTATGTATGTATAGTATGCTATGTGTAGGTATTGAAAACATTCTTGTTTAATCAAATGATTTTTTTTTTAAATTGAGAAGCACAGTGATACATAGTATTAGTACATGCATTTATAATGAATGTTAGAACTGAAAATGAGATTTGACATAAATACGCTAATTAAACAACAAATAAAACTAAACGTCTGTTAGGAATTTCTCATTTTTCTACATAAATTGTGATCGAAGTTATACCAATGTTTTAGAGGTGACCAGCCACTTATGTCAGTATCGGCGGCCAACATGTCAGAGGCGTGGAGTTGGGCGGAGCGCGCCTTCGACTCCTCCAAGCCGACCCGCGTTATCGTTCACGGCTTCGGCTCAAACTGCGACAACGTCTGGGTTTACGAAATGAGATCCGCATTGATGGCCGTCGTAAGTACTCTTCAATCATTTAAATTTATTTACTACGCGAGCACGTGAGACCGCCATAAACGTATCTGTTACAAAATTTATTTAATGCAGTAATTGACTGAAAAAGAGTTATTATACATACCTATAAAAGTCTATTAGTGAAAAATAAACATTTAAAATGATTGTTTGCAACAGGAAGAATGTAACGTAGTGTGCGTGGACTGGGAGGGCGGAGCCTCGATGCCCAATTACCTGCGCGCCGCCGCCAACACCCGGCTTGTGGGCAAGCAGCTGGCCATGATGCTTCAAGGTGAGCTTAACACACCTTAATATTGTTTTCTAATTTCGACAATGATTTGAAATAAACCGACCACTTTCTTAGTCTATTACCAATGGTAGACAGATTTCAAAATTGTATATCTATTTTAATTTTTAACTTTTGCGTATACAAATGTTACAGGATTAGCGGAACACATAGATTTAAAATTTGAAGACGTTCATTTAATTGGGTTCAGTCTGGGAGCGCATGTCGCAGGATTTGCTGGCTCCGAACTGAGGAACATAAGTCGAATAACAGGTATGATGAGATTTTGTTTTTACTGTACTTTATTAACTAAGGTCGCGATTGACAAAGAATTATACTGTATGAATATTTTTATAGGTCTCGATCCCGCTGGACCGCTATTCGATTTCCAAGACCCTCGGGTGCGGCTCGACCGCACGGATGCCAAGTTCGTGGACGTGATCCACTCCAACGGGGAGACGCTGATCCTGGGCGGGCTGGGGGCCGCCCAGCCGCTAGGACACGTCGACTTCTACCCCAACGGCGGTCGAGTGCAACATGGATGCTCCAACTTGTATGTATTATGTGGTTAATGGTAACGGCGAATGAAATTAAAAAGTAAAAAGAATGACAAAGCGATATTAAATTAGAAAAAATTGGTAATATAATTTTAAGATTAAGCTATTGTCAGGTTCGTGGGCGCAGTGTCAGACCTGGTGTTGCCGTGGGCGGCCGCATCGGCGGAAGGCCGCTCGTTGTGCAACCACCGCCGCGCCTACAAGTTCTTCACAGACTCTGTATCACCTAAATGCCACTTCCCTGCGTTCCCATGCTTAGACTATGACACCTTTCTTGAGGTACGTTAGGAACTTAATTATTACTAATTTTAGGGTGCCGTGAAATTGTGCTTTGTTTTCAATGGAAAACGTGCTTGATTGTAGACTCTAGGATATTCGCTGGAACATCGTTGTCTTTACAATTGTTAAGTAATCGATAAATTTACATTTTGTATCCAGGGTCGATGTTTCCCGTGTAGCGAGGAGCGGCGGTGCGGTAATATGGGCTACTACGCGGACCGCTCTCTCGGCCGCGGTCCCCTATATTTGGTTACGCGAGAGGAAGAACCTTTCTGTGGTATGAAGTCGCACAAAACTACTTGCTAAATCGTATAAAAAAAGTATTTTATAAGAATTTTATTCATTTATTTTTTATTCCAGCTCATCAATACCATGTGTCGGTGTGGGGTGCTACAGAGCCCGGGGAGAAGACAACCTATGGCAAAATTACGTTGACATTACACGGTGACTCCGGCCTCAACGAATCTTTCCCTATGAATAAGTAAATACATTGCCTTATAATTATTTTGTTTCACTTGAGGTGATCGAACGAATGAGATAGTAGCAAGGATGGTGGAATGCTTTATATTTAGTAAGCCCTCATATCTTGTTTCTCTTTCCACAGGCGCGAAAATAACCAGGTGGGACGCTTGCACTTCTCCCGCGTGCTAGTGCCGCACCCCGCGCTGGGCGTGCCCCTGCGCGTCACGCTGCACTACGCCGCCTACTCCGGCTGGCTGACTGCGGGCGCGCGCGCGGTCCGCCTGCACAAGTTCCTCATCACTGACAGCTTCGGCAAGACGTAAGTGACTCTTACAATATGGTATCCTCCTTATATTGTATCCTGCTTAACTTTTTTATATTTTCGTAGGTCATCTTTCTGCAAACATGTGAGGCTGACAACTGATGAGTCAGTAAGGTTACCTTTATACCCCGGTGATTGTCCGATGCTACAGGTAAATACTATAAATGAAATGGAAAAAAATAAAATTTAAGATTACAATTGCTTTCATAACACAAAAAGATGAAGTTAAAAAAATATTTTTTCTAGGACAACGAATCGGACAATGCCACAGTACTAGAAGTTAACATTAAGGAAGACAAAACCAAAGAACCTTCAATAGATGATCTCGACAACGAACTTCCAGAAGATCCGCCGCGAACAACTTTCGTTCTAGTCGACAACTACGAGTGGGACAGCGCCACCGACACAGGCCGCGCCTTCGGCATGACCAACACGAAGACAGCGCCAAATGGCATTGTTGAAATTGCGGAGCCCGTCCTGCGGCCGCGATCTCGCAAAACACCACGACAGAGGATCGACATGGCTGATGAAAGTCCTGAAATATCCGAACCTCTTTTAAGACCGACGCGACCGCCGCGACATACTCCTCCTTCCTCACGAAAACCAAAAAACTATGACGTAACTACTCCTACTTACGAAACATTCTCCTTGAGTGCAACTACTGAAAAAGAAGAATTGGGATTTGCAGTACAATTCCTTCCATCCAGACTCGCGTCATTTATATCGAGGGCTGAGCGGTACGCGCGGGACACCCTGCTGCCGCTGGTGTCAGCTTACGCACCGCGGTTGCCAATATTCGGCGCACGAGAACTGCCGAAACCCACAGCCAAATACATTCCTACAGAGGACGGTAACTTAACGAGCAGTGTGCCCGTACCTACACCTACGTTGGAGATGAAAATCGAATCCCTTAGAAACATGGGTCCGCCCGGTGAGATGCGCGAGATCGAGACTCCCGAGGACCCCGATATCCCGGTGGTGATATCTACGACTACCACAACGTCTACCACCACTACTCCCAGCACGACCACGACGGAGAAGCTGCGGCCCGCGCCCACAGAGATGCTGCAAGTGATCCCGGGACCCGTGGTCACCACCAGCACCGCGCTGCCGCCGGTTGCCCTGCACAGCGCCCGGGAGAAGATTCTCATAGTTTATCCGAGCAACGCTAGAGAGGAGAGAAAAATAAAATCCCATTCTATATCTGAGGAGATGCAATTTGAAGCGTTGTATAGACACGCCGCCGAAGAGGTGCGAGTCGACTTGCCCACTTTCCATCCCCCTACCTCCAGCGCGGACCCAAGCTCCACTGAGCTGCAATCTAAAGGAGACGCGAGGTTCATCCCAGTACCGTTTTTACAGAAAACCGACGTTAAAGATACTTGAACTCTATTCGACTTGACTGACTGTACTTTCTACTTGAGTCAATAAGAACAGAAATAACTCAAAAACTTAAATATCCACCAAACCGGTACAAAGACCTGTCCTTTATCGCTTTGGTTTGGAAAAATTTAGGCCTTGAAAAAACTGATATGTCAAAAGCCTGTTGTTAAAATGTTTATATTTAATTTGTTATATGTACATAATTTAAGTATGAAGTGTAGGAGAATAAGAAACACAATTTTAATAAAAACTTATTTATTAATATGTCTTTACATAATCCAGAGACCTTAAGCACTAATCATTCAAAAGAACTAGCATTCTCGCTTTCTTAAAACAAAAAATCAAGCAAAATGGCGTTATTATCATAATGTAAGATATCACAGGATGAACATAAACAAGAAGTGAGAAAAATAAAAATTAAAGTCAGAACTCAAGTTATGTTAGAATCATCTTTCTTCAATAAGTATTTTTAAACAAAAGACAAATTTCTTTTATATTATTAATACATAAGAGTGAACAGTACAGTAAGTAATTGAAAAAACTTACAAATACAACATTAACAAAATACTTATGTACTTAATAGTTGTCTAAGAACACTATTTTAACTACAAAACTAAAATTAAAACAAATTATCTTTATTCATTAAAAAAGTGCCGAAGGACATATTTCGTACGAAAATATTTATCACTAACTATTTTGCAACATTATGTCAAACACGTGTGCATATTTATACGTAAACTGGAATTATTCACCAACTACAAATATTATAGAGCGTCTCAAATAAGGTGTGCGCGCCTTTCATAACCTAAATATTAAAAATAAACTCTATAGATGTAGATTGAAGTGTCTGTAATATCGAGAAAAAAACATATTTCACGAATATGTTCCGTTTTTTTTTCATTCGGTGGCTGACCGCTAGTACAAAATAAATTCGCGATTTCTTTAGTGAAAATTCATATTAAAAAAAATTTTTGCATGAGAACATACGTTACAAAACGGCGCAAACATTATGTGAAAGGCAATACTTTTTTAGTACAACACTACTTCATGTACTTATCGGAGTGCTGTGTGAGGATGCGCGCGGAGGACTTGGCGTCGAGGAAGAGCGTGTGCACGGCGGCCACGTGCGGCGCCGCGATGCGCGCCCCGCCCTCCGCGCGCGCCGACAGCCACGCCGGCGTCAGCAGCTGCACCGCGTATCTGCACAATACACCTCACTTTGTACCACAAAATGTAAAAAACAAACGCAATACGCATAAGACGTTGAACAAACTATAACATACTAGCTTTCGCCCGCGACTCCGTCCGCGTGGTATTAAAAAAAAAACAAAAGTAAGTAGCCTATGTGTTCTAGACTATGCTCTACATCTATGCCGAATTTTATTCAGATCCGATCAGCCGTTTAGGCTACAAACTTTAACAAACACCCATCCGTCTAAACTTTCGCATTTTTAATATTAGTAAGATAGAATGTATGCACCTAAAGTCTAAGTTCGACCATATGGTCACTATGGTAGATGCCAAGCGTAGACTTAGTGTAAGGTGGCAGTGATTATTTTTTATCATCAAATCATTTTGATACTTATAATTACTAGCTATTCTTGGCGACTTCATACATTTAACAGGCTTTTGTTATTAGCTAAAAATAATAGTTACCATAGCAATTTTGCTTCTGTGCTATTGGCTTATAGTTTTTGTCCCTTTCCACATGACTGTTTTTTCCTAACTTGTTTACCCTCGAAGTTTAATACCGTGATAAAGCCCATAGTATGTCAAAAATGTAGGGTTTTTACTAAATATTCTACATAACAAAGAAATGTGATTACGATTTACTAGCATAGATAGTAGTTGGATTTTCTAGAATAGCAAATGTCTATGGGCATTATAATATGGTCATCTTAGCAGTAAATTATTTACCTCAATGTACTATTGGCACCAATTTCCGAGAGAGCTGCTAAGGCATCTTCTTCAATTGCTATGCCTTCCGTGGTTGCGCGTAACTTTAGAATCTTGAAAAATAAAAACCGCTCTTTCATTTATTCACAGGTATTGTATAAATACTACCTTTATCTAAGACTTTGTTATTTTATTTATTTTCATATAAGTAATTGCTGACGTAAAAATCTATATACACACCTGTAAGAGCTCAGCTTTATTGTAAGGTAAAGTACGAATAATCAACAGTCTGTCCAAAAGATCTAGAGGTATTCCATGTGGAGATATTATATCTTCTGTGCCTCTGAAATATATTGAAATTAATAAATTTATAAATTCCGTCAATTAAAAAGTAGATTGCAGACAAGGAACATACAAATAGTAATTTAAAAAAAAAAACGATTTTAAAAAATGACTTTTAGCAAGAAACATTTAGCAAAAATATTTAGCATCTATGTATATTGTTACCTTATTTGACAGCGTCCCCGATTAGTAGCAAAGATGACAATAGGAGCGATGGCTGACTCCAACGCGCGGTGCAGATATGTGAATGTTTCTATATCCAACATGTGAACCTGAATAAATACACAAAAAATGTAATAAAAAAGTCTACAAAAACATTTTTTTTTTCCAATCAGAAACAAAAAACAAACCTCATCAATGAAGAGAACACCGGGAACCAACTCTGCAATACCTTGGTCTATATATTTATTGACTATTTTATTGATCTCTTTTCTTAATTTATCTGTAAAAAAAACCAATTCATCGGTTAAACTATAAAACTAATTTTTATTAAAGGTATTATACGATTACTCTAATATTCATGCAACTTGCAATTTAAAATCACAAACAAATCTTACTAATATTATAAACAAGAAAATTTAGATGGTTGGATGTTTGTTAGAGTTTGTAGCCAAAACTGCTGATCAGATCTCAATTAAATTTAGCATAGATGTAGAGGATAGATAACACAACAGTTACATACTTTTTTTGTTTAATTCTATGCGAACAGAGTCGCAGGCAAAAGCTAGTATATAACAATTTAAAGATGTGACAAATAATTATAGCATACCTGTAATTTCAGTTTTCTTTGGCTTCATTAGCTGACCCATGACTGACATAATGTCATGACCTCCCTGTGGTCTGGCGTTGGCACAGTCCAAGTCATGTAGAGTAACATCTTGTACAACCTCCTTCTTTTTATGAACATCACCTTTTGGCAATGGGACATATTCTTCCGCCTGAGAAAAAAATAATCATTCAATGAGCTAGAATTAAGCTTAAAAAGCAATCTCACTAATATTATAAATGCGAAAGTTTAGATGGATGGATGGATGGATGGATGTATGGATGTTTGTTAGTGTTTGTAGCCTAAACAGCTGAACAGAACTCCATGAAATTTGGCACACGTTTAGAGCATAGTCTGGAAGAACACATAGGCTACTTTTTATCCCAGGATAAGTTACGGTTCCCGTGGGATTCATTAATTTAGTTTTTTAATGTTTACTCAATCATTCTGCAATGTTTCAACATATCTTATTGAAATTTGGCACAGATGTAAAACAAAGTCTGGAGTATACATGGGATAAGCTTCATCCCCGAGGTGTCGGGTTCCCAAGGGATATGTAGCTTTTTGTTATTTTTATAGTTCGTATGTTTTCTAATACCGCGCGGACGAAGTCGCGGGCAACAGCTCGTTTATTTATAATTGGAGTCAATAAGTGTTTAAGCAAACTTAAAATTTAACTTCAAACATTTTTGCTTAAATTTTTTAAGTTTAAAGATGAATCATTTTTTGTGTCACTATATATCCATGATTGTTAAAACTGAGATAACTTGAAATTCCAACATAATTTTAAGACCACATAATTTCACAAAACAAAATAATCAATTTAATTGTGATATACCTCAAGATCAAATTCCGTAGCAAAAGTGTCACTTCGTCCTTGGCGCTTTACTGCACCAGAGTTAGCTTCAATATAGATGACATCTCCTACTTCTACTTTTTCTTTCTGCAGTGACTCATATATGGTGGGATCTAACTTCAATTGCTTTGTACCTTTTGCCGTTTTCAAACCAATTATAACATGTGAAACTGTTTTCCCATATCCTGAAAAAAAAAACCACTTTACATGCAAACAATTTGCTTATTTTAATATAGATATTTAATAATAGTGGTAAGTCACATTACTTCAAAATCAATCACAATATAAAGATTACAAATCATACCTCCACCAGGGTTTTCTGTTTCCACTGGTGTAAGCTCTGTAACTTCACCCTCAAATACTTCCTTAGTCTCCCGAATACGGAGACCAATGGCTCTGCGAAAGTTCTCCATTAGAACTTCAGTCTTTTTTATCTCTGTACTGTAAACCTCACTCCCGACCATAGGGCAGAATGGCACCTACAAACAAGTTATTATTACACTAAGTTTTGAATTGCAATAAATTAATATTATTGTTACACAATTTAAATTTCAGATTTGATTAAAACTGTGGTACATTGTTTTATTATAGGTAAGGCATGTGTTTGTATCATTTTTTCATAACAAGCTAAGTAGAAATAAAAAGTGCTTGGAACTTTCTAAGTCAAAATATATTAAAAAGAACTTACTTTGTTACCTAGTTCCTGAGCTATAGCTAATGCAATAGCTGTTTTCCCAGTACCAGGAGGACCTGCCAAAAGCAATGCTCGGCCAGCCATCTTCTTACTTCTTATCATATCTACTACTATTCCGGCAGCCTACATAATAAACATATTGAAATTTAAATAAGTGTTTAACATTTCAATAAATAATAATAACTCTAATTGACTATAATGTAAAGTACAAAGTGTTATTTGTTACAATATAATATTGAGTTAAATTAAAAAGGAATCTGAACTATAATTCTTGGGATCCATGGTAACCAAACAAACTAACCTATTTGGTCAATAATTTAACTTGTAACATAAGGAAAATTTTATAAACAACTTATAGTAAATCACAAAAATTCTATAATTAGATACTAAATGCATGTAAAACATCGTATTTTAATATAAATCACCTCTCTAGCAGATTCTTGGCCCACGAGACCGGCTGCCATTTGAATAGGTACCCCATTTTCGTCCAACCCCAAGCCTTTAATATGACTATGAGCCGATATTCTTTGGGTTTTAGCAGTACTCTTAACTTCTTCGATTTTCATTTTGCAACCTAATCTTGTATTATAATGTCTAAAATTTTAAAGACGTTAGAATTAAGATAAACTGCACAAAAACCAATCACTCGTCAATAATGGCGAGGAAAATTTAATGAATGACAATGACATTGACATTTCACGAAAAAATAGACAACAGTTTTAGAGATGTGATTGGGATGATTTGAACCTCAATTGGAGGATAATTTACGACTGCTTTTGAATATAATTGTCTCATCAATTTAATTCCTTTTCACCCAGGAGTCATTTGGATCACAAGGTTTATAAACTTGATTAAGTTTAAGTAATTATTGAAAATGGTGAAATATTTTTATGGTAACTTATAGTATAAACTAGACCCGTGTCGATCAATTATTCCTTCGAACTGGATCGATCAGGCCCGTCAGCATAGTTGTCAGGTTTAAAAGGAAACGACTATGCTTTTTTCTATAGTTTACTCGATCACGTCACGTTAGGTTCTGTCGATCAAGGGGTTAATGAGTAACCCGTCACGTAATGGACGAGTCCTGTCTATATCTTACGACTGCAAGGATGCGAGTTGTGGGTATAAAACAAAAGAATCCAAATTGTGGATTGTAACCCGGTTGCTCACCTGTGGATCGAATCACAGTGATCTGATAGGTAGATAACGAACGAACCTGGTCTAGCGCCATTTCCTGATTTGTCTATCTATGCTTTTACGTTTTGGTAAAAATGGTAGAGTTTGGCAAAACTTCCTACATGTCTAATCTGTGGTAAAACGAAAATGTCAGATTAACCAGTGTCACCAAGTGTCACTGTCGAATCAAAATTGGTTTAAGATTTTACTTGTGGATATTTTACGATGTGAATGAAGTTTTCTTCCACAATTCACACTTATAAAAGCGGATTGTACCATAGATTTGATAATAATTAAAATAATAGATGATAAAAGACATTGGTTGAGAAAGAACAAGGTTACCAACATAATTTTGCTGCAGAGCAATTCCTTTACTTCTTCATAATGGAGTATACAGCACAAAATTTAGAATATGCCGTCAATGTGTTTTATAATGGCGAACAAAATGAGAAAACTAATGCACACACCTGGCTTACAACAGCTCAAAGAGCTCCTGAAGCATGGAACTTTGTTTGGGAATTACTACAGCCTCATAAGGTATGTCTTCCAACTGTGTTTATTCTTGTATTATGATGTACCAAATTCTAAATTTTATAGAAAACCTTTCACATATTCCTAATCTTACTATTGCCATTCACAATCTGTGTGTGTTATAATGTCCAAAAATAAATTTATCAGAAGAGAAAAGGCTAAATATTTCAATAGTTTCAATATATATAAATCATATGTCATTTATTATAATATTGTGTTAAATGTATTTTCAGGGTACGGAAATTCAGTTTTATGCTGCAACAACTTTGCATACCAAGATCCTGCGCTGTTGGAATGAGGTACCTCCAGAGAGCTATGAAGAATTAAAGGAGAAGATACTACAAGCCGTAACTTCATATTCCCAAGGTCCAAAGATTGTAACCAACAGATTGTGTATTAGTGTGAGTTATGTTTAAAATTATTTTTTTTTGTTTGCAATAAAGATTCATCATTAAAGTTTGAATAAATATGTTGCTTTAAGCGAAAATTAATTAAAAACAGCTCAACTCACGCTTTTTTCTCCGGTGACGGCACCGACTAGTTTCGGATCCTTCGGGGATCCTTCTAAAAAAAAAAAGCGTGAGTTGAACCGTTTTTAATTAATTTTCGCTTAAAGTAATGTCTCACGATAGTTTAAACAATTTAAATATGTTGCTTTACATTCAATTAAAATGCCTAGTATTAAAAGTTAAATTACTATATTTATATTATTCTTATAATAAGATATATTCTGATTAATATCCATTTTAAATGATTGCATTGTTTTCATAGTATTTGTGTCTCTTTTGCAGTTAGCTGCAGTTATACTACAATTGGGAGCCACAGATCTAGCTACAACATTAAGACCTCTGTCAAATGTAGAAAATACATCTTTGCTACTGGAAGTGTTAACTGTGATACCTGAAGAGGTAACCTATTATATAAACAGATTTTACTCCTTTGAGTTCTTTAGAATTGAAAATAAAATTTTATTAAAACTCTTGATCTCAACTTATATTTTCAGTTCTGAGTAAACCACATGTGTAACCATTTTAAAGACCTACAAATTAAATTTTACAGTAATATTAGAGTGCTTTGACGGAATTCCTTGTTTCAGTATAACAGTATGACAATGGGAACAGCACTCAGAACAAAAAATCAAAATGCATTGCTTCATGCTTGTCCTGCAGTGTTGGATGACATGCTTCGCTATCTGCAGTCTGTATATAAGTGAGAGTTTTACACCTTTTAATTTTACAAATACATCATAATTTATATATCACTAGCATTTGCCTGCGACTCCATCCATGTGCAATGACAAAAAAAACAATAGTGAGTAGCCTTTGTGTTCTTCCATACTATCCTCTACGTCAATGTGAAATTTCATCGCGATTGGTTTAGGCTACAAACTCTAACAAACATCCATCCATGTAAACTTTTGCATTAATAATCGTCATCATCTTTCTTCTTATTCTACTCCCGTCGGGTCGGCGCAACAGGTTTTTGTCCTCCACATAACTCTATCATACGTCATCTCATTTTGCATTAATAATAGTATGACCAAAATGTGTGTGGTTTTTATTACATTTTTTTTAACTTTGACAATTTGGAATATAAACTTAGCTATTTAATTTTTGACAAGTCGGTGCAGTTTTACTAATGATCTCTTTTTTTACTATATACATATATAGTATGTTACTTATTGATAATGTAGTTTCTCAACCGAAAAAGAATTTTGAAATTGGCCCAATATTTTTCGACTTTATTTCTGATTTTTGTAATTAGTCCATTAGTTTTTAGTTTGTGTAGTGTAAATAATTTCAGTATGTGTTATCAGTGATTACAGTAAGAGTCCCCCCTGTGAGGAGACAGTCAAGAGCTGGCTGAACGTGGCGACGTGCGCCGGCAGCTGGCTGAGCATGGCGTGTGCTGACTGTATGGACTACAACAGCGCCAGTGTGCCGGACTTCGCCCCATTGTGCAGAGCGTTGCTCACTGTCGTACATGTTCTGTATTCGTAAGTATGAATATTTTTTTTTATTATCAGCTTTTAACCGCGACCTCATTCGTGCATAATAAAAAAAGTAGCTAGAACTATAAGTAGGAAGAACACGTATCTTCCAGACTATCCACATCTATGCCAAGCCATGAAATCTATTCAGCTGTTTATGCTACAAACTCTAACATATTTGATGGATATCAATCCATCTAAACTTTCGCTTTTATAATTTAACTTAGATTTACACTTCAAAGAACTAAGTTAATGTTGCTTTGTATTTTGAAAAGGCAACTTTCTGTTCAACATACTTGTGCTATACTGCCACGAATAGGTTATAGTACATTTAGCACAGGGTAGTGCAGTAGCACCATGATACAGAGGTACAATGAAATATATATCCCACCACAATCAATGGCCTCACCGACCCTCGGGTCAAACGGGCCGAATCGCGGGAAGGGCGTGCGGTTTGGCCAGTTTTGGCTCCGCACGCACGTTCTTAACTCCTTACAAGTTATTTCGTTTGTTCCTTTGTGTTGTGTCACTCTCCCCTAAATTGGCATGACGAAACATGAACACCTTCGCCGTGGAACATCCACTCCAGCGCCTATTTTAGCCTACATCTTCGATGATGGCAATGGTACAATGGTGCAGTGGTACTGTCAGATGCAGCGAGGCGGTGAGCGACGTGTCGCTGGAGGCATGCGAGGCGGCGCTGAGCGCGGTGCGCGCGGCGGGCGGGGGCGCGGGCTCGCTGCGCCGCCCCGTCGCCGCGCACCAGCTGCTCGCAGACCTGCTGCAACTCGCGGACCGCGTCCTCGCCAGAGACAACGTGCCCAACTCTATCAATGAGGTAATATAATTCACAGACCAAGATCCTATCCTAGGAAAATACGTATAGACTAATCCAATTAAGAATTTTTATTAATGCTGGGTTTCCATTTTTTTATCGTTAGATATCACAAGAGACATAACGTTTAATATTGGATGGTGTGATTACCAAACCATCTGCAGTTTACTTGTTAGTTGTATAGATTAAAAGTTTGCATAAAGTTGAAAATCGGCAATGAATCGAAGGACAATCGTCCCTTATTCTATTTACTTTTACACATTAATATAAATGTAAGAACATAAATATACTTCAATACTAAAATCTACTGATCCCGGCAGAATGGCGCGCTTATTCGTAATACTTCCGAATGACATTGACAGATGTCATAGGGATGGGACGTGTATGATCTAGCGTTGCGCCGATTTCTTTAACATTAGCGATGTATAGAAATGAAGAGAGATTAAAGTGAGAGCTGGTATGCAAACTAGGAGCTGGTGTCTGCGGTGATAACGTGCCTGGTGTCGGTGGCGGACTGCCACTCGCGGCACGTGGTGCGCGGCGTGGAGGCGGGGCAGCGCGCGCCGCGACACGCGCTGGAGCTGCTGCTGGCCGCGCAGGCCGCGCCCGGCCACTACCCGCTGCACGAGACGCGCTCCCACTTCGTCTTCAGCTTCTGGTACACGTTGCAGGTGAAACAACTTTATTGTGCTACCAGCTGGTACGACGCCCATGTTATGTGTTCCTATTCCATGTGTGTTCTTCCATACTATCATACTAATTTTATATATGCGAAAGTTTACATGGATGGATGTTTGTTAGAGTTTGTAGCCCAAACTGCTAGACGGATCTCAATAAAATTCGGCATATATGTAGAGGATAGTTTGGAAGAAAACATAGGCTACTTACATTCGTTTTTTTTTAAATTTCACGCAGACGGAGTCACGGGCGAAATCCATTTTACATGTGTGCCCAATTTCAGCAAAATCCGTTGAGCCGTAGCAAAATTCATCCATCCATCTAATCTTACGCATTTATTATAGTAAGAAGTAAGATTGCGTAGAACATTTTAGGTTTCTGTTCTTTTTAAGTATTTAATATTATTATCGGAATTAATAGAGAATTGTAGATAGATTTTACGTAAAATTTGGCTTAACAGACAGTTGTTAATCAAAAATGAAAAATAATTAGTTATTCTATAGTCAAAAGAATATATAATTGATTCGTTGGTTTATCACGCCCCATACATCTGTACTAATGTTATAAAGAGGAAAACTTTGTTTGATTGTAATGAATAGGCTCATAACTGGGCCGATTTTAAAAAAATCTTTTACCGTTAGAAAAGTTAAATTATCTGTGAGTAACATGGGCTAAATTATTTTCTTTATTATTATTTTGAAAAATCACGCAGAGTCGCGGGCAAAAGTTAGTGTAAGTATATAATTAACGAGTATTCAGTGGTCCAGGACGAGATATCGAACACGTGCGACAGCAAGCGCGGCGTGCCGGCCGTGTGGCTGGACGTGTTCTCGCGCCTGCTGCTGGCGCTGGTCGCCAAGGCGGAGGCGCCCGCCGACTGCGACCTCTCGCAGGACGACCAGGAGCTGCTGCGCTGCTACAGGCAGGATATTAGTGATACTATTGTAAGTACCGCTTTACCCTAAAGTAACATATTTATGTTTCCCAACTTTTATGTTCTTAGTACAAAAATCAACTTAAACCTTAGGACTTTAGACAGACCGTTAGTCCCTTAAACAAAAGGGACCCTTTGGGACATTGGTGATGACGGTGGGGGTCCTGATCGTCCATTAAATTGGTGCCATAATGTGTTCCTATGTTCCCAAAATGCGGAACATCAGGCAACGTCATGTATTATGTGGTTTTGGTAAGTTCCATGGAGATTCCGAAACCCACTTCTATTTCACTAGAGACGCCACCGAGGGGGTTTTAGTGCGATTTTCCCCCAATACCAGAAAAAAGATTTAGACCGTGTTTAATTATTTGTAATTTCGCTCATATTAGCTTGTGTCGTAATAATGTTTTACAGACGTACTGCTTCTGCGTGCTAGAGGACAACATCTGGAAGGTGCTGGAGGAGGCGTACCCGGTGGGCGGGTGCGAGGCGCGGCAGGAGGCGGTGCTGTTCGCGTTCCTGGCGGTGGGCGAGATCCGGCTGACGAAGCAGGCGCTGACCCCGCCCATCGCCGCGCTGCTGCAGCACGCCGTCGGCGCCGCCCGCAGCGCGCGCACCGCGCACCTGCTCGACACCGCGCTCGACTGTCTAGGTATGCTGTATTATCTCATTATTATCTGTTGCTCGTGACCTCGCCCGCTTCAAATAAAACATAGCCTATGCTACTCATTGATAACGTTACTCATTAAAACAACCGTTACCCATAGACGCTAGTTTTTTAGCGTTGTCTATATTAATCGAAAAAGGAGATGAAAACTGCATACACGTTTCCTCTCGATGAATTAACGTTTCTAGGCAGTATTTTTTTTTATAATATAAGGTGGCAAACGAGCAAGCAGCCACCTGAATCCACCGAAATAGAAAGCTACCGCTGTCCATTAACATCCACCATTGCAGATGCGTTGCCTACCCTTAATTGACGGTGGAGGAGACGCAAATAAAGAGGATGTGTCCCCTTTCTATGCGTCAAATCTACTTTTCCTTCCCATCCTTTCCTATTAAGAAAAGGATGAAAAAGGAAAAGGACTAAAAATTAGGCCTCCGGAACCATAAGACTCATCAGACGAAACGCGGAATTGCTTCCACTTCACGCCTGTCTTCTGTGTGGTCGTAGTATTACACGGGGCGAGCCGGCCCATTCATGCGAAGATGTTAAAGCGGGCTCTATCACTGTTGAATTTTCATCGAAAACTGTAATCTATTAGACATGATTGAACCTAAACTCACCAATGCCCATCTTTAAGTTTCTCATCGTCACTATTAGAAAATAATTTAAATGTTGTGTGTATACGGTAGGAGGGTACTCGTCGTGGTTGAGCAGCTCGTGCAGCTTGGAGGAGGCGGAGCTGGCGCGGCGCAGCATCTCGGCGGCGGGCGCGGCGCTGCAGCGCTCGCCGGCGCGCGCCGCGCACGCGCTGCGCAAGCTCTGCGCGGAGTGCGACGTGCTCGCCGCCTCCATGGCGCAGGACATCGTCAGCGCCGCACAGGTACACAAACAACTACAAACAGTCATATTCTATCTCTATCAGGTTTCTACAGTGGCAGAGCCCGCTTTAACATCTTCGCACGAATGGGTCGGCTCGCCCGGTGAAATACTACGACCACACAGAAGACAGACGTGAATTGGAGCAATTCCGCGTTTCGTCTTATGAATGTGTTGCCGGAGGCCCACAGTCACCACAGAGGTCCCTTTCCCGTTCCACCCTTTTCTGATAAGGAAATGATTAGATGTGAAAAGTGGATTTGACGGTGGAGGAGGCGCATAGGGAGGGGAAGTATCCTCTTTACCTGCGTCTCCTCCTCCGTCGTATTAGGGTAGGCAACGCATCTACAATAGGGAATGTGCATTTTTTCTTAAAGAGTGCTTAAAAAAAAGTTTGGTACAATTTGGCGTCATATGCATATTCCTTATTGCGGATGTCTATGGGCAGTGGTCGCTTCGCCATGCCGCTTGCTCTTTTGCTACCTTATAATATAAAAAATCCACTAAGTTCATTGTGGCATTAGTGTTCATTTTATGTGTTTTGTACTCAGAGTGGTATGGTCCGCTGCGACAGCTTCGTGCGGCGGCAGCTGGCGGGCGCGGCGGGCGCGGCGCTCGCAGCGGCCCCGCTCGACGTCGCTGCGCCTCTCCTGCAGAAGTTGGCGCAGCCGATGCTCCTCGACCTGAGATCACAGGTGCTTGTGCATTTGAAAAGAATAACAAAATTTGGAGATTAGGTATATTTGTTTAGTGATTGACATGTAGTGTCTGTGTGCAGGCGGCGGAGGGCGTGCGCGCGCGCGCGGCGGCGGAGTGCGGCGCGGCGCTGCTGACGGCGCTGTCGGCCGCGCCCGCGCTCGCCGGGGACCTGTTCCAGGCGATGCTGCCTGCGCTTGAAAACTTCACGCAACACGCAGACCTCCTCGAGGTACGTCGTCACACGAACACAATCGACACATTAAAAAATATTATAGACTAAAGCACTGAAAACATTTGTATCTTCTAAAAATGTATGATATGCAGGCGATGTATAAGGTGCTGGAGCAGGCGCTGTCGTCGCTGCTGGAGGCGTGTGCGCCCCACATGCCGCAGGTCGCGCAGCTCACAGTGGCCGGCTTCCACACGCAGCCCTGCGCGCAGGGTCTGCTCGTACTCAATTTGGTCAGTATTTATTTCATATTTTTGAAGGAAATGATGCTGCATTTCTTTTCATTATTACAATGAATATTGTAATAATGAAATATATATATATATATATAATTAATGAAGATTGTTGTTTGTCAGATGATGTTGATATCGTACGAGACGTGGCCGGAGGCGGGGCGCGTGCTGCGCGCGTGCGTGTCGGCGAGCGCGGCGCGCGCGGCGGCAGACGTGCGCGCAGACCCCGACCTCACCTCGCACCTCTTCCTCACCCTCAGCACACTCACCAAGAAGATACCAGAAAGTTTACAATGGATCGAAGACTTGCTCTCCCAGCTCGTCGAGCTCGGTCAGTATTTGGAGGAATCCCATCTTTGTATTTGTTATGTTCTGTATTTATTTTTGTTTGTGATATTTGCAGCGTGCCGGTGTGTAACGGTGTGGGAGGCGCAGACGGCGCGCGGCGCGTGCACGTGGCTGATAGCGCTGGCGGCGCGCCGGCCCGCGCCCCTGCTGCCGCACGCGCCCGCGCTCACCGCCGCCGCCGTCTGCTGCATCGGTAAATACTCACTACACCATCACCATTGTGAAAAATGCACTCATAACACTGGAGCGTAAAGAACTATAGTGTTCATCAGCTCTGTAATCTTTATAATGTTCTGTGCAGTCGTACTATTTTTTTCAATGAAGGCCATTATTGCAATATAATTTGTTTTTTGTTTGTAAGGCGGTGCGTCGCCGCGCGCGCAGGTGTCTGCGCTGTCGGAGCTGCTGCTGGCGCTGAACCGCGCCGAGTGGGGGGCGGTGGCGGGGGCGGTGCAGGGGGCGGGGCTGCGCGCCTGGCTGCACGCCGCGCTCGACGTGGACGGCTTCCCCTCGCACCACGCCACCCACACACACAAACAGAAGTTCATCACCGCTATACTCAAGTAACTAATCATACTAATATTATAAATGCGAAAGTTTACATGGAAGGATGGATGTTTGTTAAAGTTTGTAGCCTAAACGACTGAACGAACTTCAATGAAATTTGGCATGTATGTAGAAGATAGTCTGGAAGAACACATAGGCTACTCTCCTTTTTTTAATTCCACGCGGGCAAAAGCTAGTTTTTGTATAAAATTCACTTTTTATTAATTTGCAGAACGAATTCTATTCAGTTTTGAACTTAAAGTATTTTTGCCTGTTTCAGAGAGAAAAATAACAGACGGATAGTTTTCGAAGCGGCGCAGGAGTTCTCGCTGGTGTGCCGCGGCCTCATCGGCACGGAGTACGCGCGGCAGACCATCGCCGCGAAACAACTCGTAGCATAAGAAACACTTTTTTAAAACTATTTTTGACATTTCAGTACTCTGTATTGATAAGTAAGTCCTTTTATAAGATCTCTTATTGATATAAATGCCAATAATCTGTGATCATCGCTGTGCGCGGTTATATCATATGTGATTAAGACATGGCATGTAAGGATTTGTGATGTTAAATATTAATTAATAATAATTGTTGTATGTCATATATCTGTACAGCGATTTATGTTTATAAGCGAGTATTTATTTTCTTATATAATAATTGTAGATAACTTTAATACGTAGTTTAAATAGTGCGCTCCAAAAATTTTATTTAAATGTGTGCTTTCCATGTAGTTTTACTAAAACAGTTGCGATAATCAAATGTATTTTGATTAGATCTTTATATAGCCTTTGACTACGGATATAAAAATTTCACCATATTGTGACAAAGATGCGGGACTAATTTATTTCAAAGCTATGAGTATTTTTATTCATTGGCATTTATTTTCTCAGTTGAAATAAAATTACATATGGTTCAAGATCTGACAAATTTCCGTGTTAAGAGGTTTATGCAAAGTGGCATAAATATGTTTAGAATGTGGGAATAAATATTATTAATAAATTGAAAAGATACACCTAAATATAGTGTTGTTCGCTTTGTAGAGCATTATCCTTTTCGCACACTATGGCTTTATCTACTTTGTGCGACAGAGACAACGCTGTACAAAGCCGAGAGTACCTTTTTCTAAAGGTCGCTGTGCAATGTTTATAATCGAGAAGACAAAATGCGCAGTTTTTGTTTCTTTACATGTAAAACTAATTATAAATGTAAATATTAAATAAAACACACGATTTGGTATTTTGAAGGCTTTTATTTTTTAACATTCTACTGAGATTAATATACTTAAGAGAACGTGAATCTTATAATAGTACTAATGTCGACTTATTATTACAATCTAACAGAATAGCAAAAATAATGGTTTTATTGAAATATCTAAAGTGACAAATTTAGTAAACAATCATAAATAAAAGTCTCATATAAATAAATATCAATCAAATTTTTTTAAGCCTTAATTCGAGTGTCCACTGTGAACAAGAACTAATAAAAAAATCTACTGAACTACTTTATATCATATCCAAAAATTTGACTACTAAAAAAATCAGTTTTTTTTTGCTACTAAAACTCCGTCGAATTGAGGGTTTAAGGAGATCATTACTCTTTCACTGACCGTTGATCAGTGAAATGAACATAAATAAATAACATATTAAAATCTAGGTTTTAATAGTAATATTTCAAAGTTTCTAAGAGGTGAATATATTGAAAATTTAACAAAACGTAAATGTCAAACAAACTAAAATCTTATTTTGGTTGCACCTGTATTTGCAAAGGAAATTTTTTCATAGTAAATTTTGATTTTATCATCAAGCATTCCTGGCCATAACAATAAAAAAACATTATAACAAAATCTAATCAGCTTCTTAAAAATAAACATATAAACAAAAAAATAAATATCTAAAACTAAGCTAAGGAATATATTTCTAAATTAAATCGCTTAGTATTTCAGTCTCCCAACTGGGGAATGTTCAATTTTAGGTGGTTAATACAAGGATTATTTACGATAATAGATCTACGACACTTACAAACTATCCTTTATTGGAGCAAGGAATAATAACAAGCGAATATTTGATTTAAGATAAAGAGTCAAAACACTACTTCTATCCACCTTTAGTAATAATGGCAAGAACTACAATTCTGTTATTAAAGGTATACGTATTACTGATTAAATAGACGACAAACATACTACATTTAAATGAGATAAATAAGCGATATGGCTGCGTATTACGGGACTTGGCTAAAACTGTCATTTGCGGCAGATAATGATTAATTAGAAGATTCATCGTTGGAGTTGTCATCAGAGGCGCTGCGGCAGATGATATCGACGCAGAAGTCGACGAACCTCTGCTGGGCGTTGTCCTCGCGTATGAAGTTGTGCGCCTGCTTGAGGCCGAGGTAGAAGCAGTCCTGGCGCGAGATGGCCTGCGACGTATTCTCCAGGTCGCTGTGCGCCTCCCGGCAGTACACTATCTTGCGCTCGTGACGACCCTCCACAGTCACCTGACACCAATATATTACTATTCATATATATTCTTCATTTCTAATTATTGTACCAGATTGACAATAGTAGAAATTGAAAATTAATAACAATATTAATATTACCTAAGTCCTGTTAAATTTTTATGAAACAAGAAAAGCCTTGGATTTTATCAATATATTTGAGATATTTGATTGATCACACATTTTTTTCAATGGGGATGTTTCCTAATTTTTGGAATAGCCTTTATTTTGTAGATAAACCATGTATGAACACGAAAAAAAATAGTATAAAATATAATACTCATTATTTCAATAAAAAAACACGTAAATAAAAACAACTCTTTCATTTCCCCCCGAAACGTCCCATGACGTCACTTCTTTGCATACGAACCTCGCGTCACGGCCTGTCACTGTCAATTTGAAAGAACCATTGATTGATAATACTCGTAAATCTTTGTTGTCTAAAGTTGTTTGTAATGGAGATAAAAATGAAAAAACCAATATGAACAGAAGGTGATACTTTTAACGTATTAATTACACTTGTTGCTTCTCGTGGAAGATTATGTTTGTGTGTAAACAGTGACTGCGTCCTACACCAGTGTGACCAGGTATAAATTAAATTGTACTATAAGCTACTCTTATGAATTTTGATATATTTTTCTTTTGTAATATTCATAAAATGTTTTGCTCATAACTTATGTCGTAATTATAAAAACACTCAATAATGGAGTCCTCATAATATAAAACACGCAAACTCAATTATTACAATCATTTAGAAAAAAATATAACTACAAAATGCACTGACATTCACTGAAGTTGGTCACACTGCCATGTTATATGCGAAGAAGTGACGTCGTTGGTGTTTGAGATCGAGTAATGGAGGGTAAAAAATATTGCAGCGTTTTTAATTTATATTTAATTTGAGACAAACATTCAAGGTCTCTAAATGTTATTATAGGTTATAAAATGCTGTCTTTAAAATATTAAACATAACTTTATTTGGATTTGTAACATTAGGAAACATCCCCATTACAAATAACCTCCAAAGGGTAGATAGCATAAAGAAATTTTAGAGTTACCATTTGTAAACATATGCACAGATTTTTTAAAGTAATTTTTTTTATTATTATTATTTCTGTATTTTTGACCAATACGCTATTAGCGCTTGATATTGTATACCTGGTAAGTGAAGTTGGTGGCGTTGCACTTGGGGCCGACGTATGTGAGGTGCACGAGTAGGCCGCAGCTGCGCGAGTCCACGTCCACGCGCAGCTGGAACAGCTCCCCGTCCGCGCACACCAGCCATATCTCGTGCACCTCGTTGCTGGTGTTCACTGAGAAACGCTGGCTCTTGCCGACCTTCACCATTGCGGAGTGCTTGTACTAAAATAAACACGTGTCCAACATTACCTTTTTAGACATATGACGTAATCATTGATACCGAAATCTTCGTTATTGATACAGCTGGATTGAGTATTTTATTTTAATGGTAGAAATCATAACTCATCTAAATATGTTCATGATTGGATTGTTGTCTACTACTATTCCATCATAATAATTTTACTAATATTATAAATGCGAAAGTTTAGATAGATGGATGGATGTTTGTTAGACTTTGTAGCCTAACGGAACGGAAGAACACATAGACCACTCAGTTTTGTTTTTTAATTCTTAATAAAGCTAGTTTTTAATAAATGATTGTATACGTATTATGGCATTGATGGTAAGAGCAAGGGGCAAGGGAGGCCAAGTGAGTGGCATACCCGCATGTGGATGTAGAGATCTTTAATGGGCAGCAGGGGGTGGCTGGCGCAGTCGGGGGCGAAGCACGCGTAGCGGCGCGCGGCGCAGTTGGCCTCGTGCGCCTCGCGCCGGCGCAGCCGCGGCCCGCGCCCCCAGCCGTGCCGGCACGGGTAGTGCAGCAGCTCGGCCACCTGCCCGCGCCGCACGCAATTACCACCAAGTTATTACACTAATATATGAAACTTATGCAAACAAATCGCCATGAACGGATTTTGATAAAAATAGGTTGAGATGTAGAGGATAGTCTGTCACACTGTCGGAGTCGCGGGCAATAGTAGTATCAACTATAAAGCGAATACAGATTTCATATACTTTTGGTGATGTCAATGTTAGAAAGACAGTATTTTTACTACCGACTTTATTTCGAACAAGAACTATATATTAAATTTAAAAAATGAGTAGTGAAAAGTGAAGTTTGGCTGGCGAAATTAAATTTCACTGTTAACTCAAACTGAATGGCATTAGTGTATAATGGAGTAAATAGTGTAATAACGCACCCCTTCCATGGCGCGGTTCCTGACGGAGGAGAAGGAGATGCGGCAGACGGGGCAGGCAGAGAGGCGCGCGCGGCAGCGGCCGCACACGAGGTGCCCGCGCCGGCACTGCCACATCGGCGGCTCCATCCACTCCAGGCACACCGGGCACTCCAGCAGCCGCAGCAGGCACTCGCACACCACAACACTACTCACGCCTCCGACACACCCTCGCACGAGCACTCGCGGACAGCCGCGGTGTTACAATTACACAAAAACCTTCTTGCGACGTGATTAACTCCCCTTCTTTCAAATAACCAACATATGTAGGTTTTTAGTAATTAACGTAAGGAAAGATTGTTACTGAATATTGATGATTAAACGTATTTACCGTAAATTGTAATTAGCTTTAAGTTGTTATAATTGTAATTGTTAATATTTTGTCTTCAATAAAATTATTTCTATTTCTATGACAGCAGTGAGTTCCGCAAACATCGAAATAATAATAAAAACAATTAGTATATTTTTGACACAATTAAAACCCGCGTCCTATTGGTTGTGCGCATCATATAAAATGTTGTTACTCAAGCTTTTAAGAAACATCGACAGTCTCCCGAATGTAAATAGTACAAATTTCGACATCCTTCATGGATATTACATGCTGAGAAAGTTATCGGATATATGGATCCCTGTCACTACAACACACTACCTCTGTGACTTACGATAATGTACAAAAGTGACTTTCTTTTTCACGTCTTCACTATCCAAATTACGTTATAAAATAAAATAAAACCGTCTGGATACGATAAATTAAGTAGTAGGTAAATTTTAACCTTCAATTAAGTAATTGTAAATATTAAAAGTTAACAATATAAATACTAACTTGATTAAACTCCATCACGGTGTACGAAATGTAGCTACCATCTGCGTCTGGAATAAAATTACCATTTATCGTATCAAATATACTTACATCAAAAGATATAATTTGACAGTATTTTCTTACTTTGTCTCCTTCTTTTCCGGGCCGGTGCCCTCACAGCGGCCTGCGTCTGCACAGAGCGCTGGGTCGCCTGCTAATAATTGTGGGGTACTTCAATAAGATTAATTTCAGATATACATATAAAAATCCCGCGCCTTTTACTCGCTACAGATATCAGATACGTATTTATTGTATACGTACATTAGGAGTAACCGTGGTAGCTTGTGTTACACTGTTGGCGCTAGGGGGCGGCTGCGGGCGCTCCTCGTGCCCCACATCGATCTCTTCTTCCACCTCAACATCTCCCTCCGGCTCGCCCTCCCCCTCCCCAACCGGCTCGCCCTCCCCCTCTCCCTCCCCATCCGCCTCGCCCTCTCCCTCCTCCTCCCCATCTCCATCCCACTCCTCATCCATCTCCTGCTTCATCGGTGCCGCCAAAATATTAACCGCTGCCACAAAGAAAATAATAGAATTCAATATTTTTGAATGTACACTATCGCTAGCAACAGTAGTACTAAGAACCTACCATCGATATTTTCCGACACCACATCGTTAGCGTCATTGGCGTCATTCGCGTCATTCGCGTCATTTGCGTCGTTTGTGTCATTTGTGTCATTTGCGTCATTTGCGTCATTTGTGTCATTTGCGTCATTTTCGTAATTCCTCGGAGGTTCCATCTCCGGTTGGTCTTCTTCTAAAAAAATATGCATCTTACAGTTTGTCTGAATACGTATGATTAGTTTGACAATTCAGTTCAGTTTGTGTAAAATCTGGAATGAACCTTTACGATTTTCGTTTTTTACTCTCATTGTAGTTAGAATCGAGTGATTCCTAATAGTTCCACATGGATCTATAATATGTGATCTGTTTTATTTCATTAGATTATTTAAATTCGAATAAATATTGAGATATTCTGGAAATAAATATTGAGAGTTAAAAGTTTAGTATTTCTAATCCGGTCGTACATAATCTTATTCGTTATTATTATTGTTGTCGCTTCACCATAATTACTACAAGATCTGTCTTTTAAGTTAACTGTAAATTCTAATTATAATTAAATTTCAATTTCAAATTCAAATTCTAATTATAAATTCTAAATAGAAAACACATTCTAAACGATTTTCGATAGCTCTTAGTTGTTCCCTACATAAGCATATTGTCTATAATACTCGTCTATTACGTGTGGACTTCATATAAATTTAATTCGATACTTGATATGCGTCACTTATCAAACTTATCAATCATAAACACACGTGTGTATAGTGTTGATGTGAAAATGTTACAATTACCATTATCAGAATTGTCAGTGAGCTCAGTGTAGAGAGCCGTGTGAGGGCACGGCGGCGCGGCCTGCGCGCTGGTGGAGGGCTGGGGCTGCCCCCCCATAGAACGGGCGCGCTCCAGCATCTCCGGTATTACTGTGCACAAGCGACCGCCATGTTTACACTAGCGACGACATGACGCGCTCTCGCCACATATGTTATACTCACCCGATAAAAGTAATAAGTAAAAGTCTCTCGTCTCATCTTCTAAAACAATAAGAATAAACCTACTTGCAACCCGGTAAAAAATGTTGACAAAAAAATAATTAAGATGATCGTCTTAAACTTTTATTTTTCTATAATTTATTAAAATTAAATATTTATGTTATTATAAAACAGATAATTAATACAAATTTGTAATTAAAACAAATATACATACTGTTTGCCGCAGACAGGGTGGGTACAGGTACCCGCGGTGCCTCCGCCCTGACAGGTGTCTCCTCATTGGCCACATTCGACGTCGAGGGCGCGTTCCTCTCTGCTAAAAAATCAATTAATGCAAAAAAATTTAAGTAAATAAGTGTGATTACAATATATTGTAACAGCAATCTCAGCTCACAGGATATAGCTTCATAAAAATTACTCACCATTACGAGCATTCATTCCACGCTTCACTCTCTGTATAGAGAGTATCTTCATCAAATCAACTCCCTTACTATTCCTAGGGGTGCTTTCGTCAAACACTTCAGATGGTCTATTATAATCATGTTCCCTGAAACATTAAGGTGCATACAGACCAATATTACATAGTGTAATGTAACATGTTACATGGTGAGCATTCATGCAGTCAGTATGTAGTATTAGACCTCTTAATATCAGTCAGAATGCACCTTTAGTTTAATATCCAACTATTAGAATAAAAGTGGAATTAGGTTAGTTAATAAACTATTCAAGGTGATAGAAGCGGTAGTCAGTGTTTGACATAGTGTTTGATAAAAACTGTAAACACTTATTATGCAAATCACTGAAGAATTAAAGATTAATGAAGTGTAAAATAATATTCAAAAATAATTACATTGCGGATTCATGTGGAGATGCTCTGGCGGGTCTGTTTAACATCTTAAAGAAATGTGCCCTCTCTGATTTTGTGGCCGCTCTATCAGCCAGAGCATTTGGCATTTCATTTTCTTCTAAAATGATAAATTAAAACTATTAAACATAAATACCATGGGAGGAATAAAATTTACTAAGAATTTATATCTTGCTAGGCCATCTAGTCTTTAATCTAAGCAATCTTTCAATCATATAGGAAAATATGTATGGATATGATAATTTTTAACAAACACAGGTTAAGGTTAAGATACAGATTTATAAAACCTTAATCATAGCTTCTGTTATTATTATTCTTTACAGTAAGTATAAGTGGACAAATCAATGTTTTCTACAAGGATATAGTTTATTTTTACCTGTATCTTCAATTTCATTTTCTGCTTGTAAGTTAGGATCATTACTTGATCTCTGAAAAACTGGATTTTCCATTTGAGAATCACTATCATCATCATCTAGAAAATATTATTTTGTTATTAAAATGTAAATAAGTTGTATGAATATTAACAATAAAAGTAAAATATATAATAACATACATTTCTATTTTATCAAAGGGAATAAAGAGCAGCAGATTGCCTAACATTATTTTAACAAGTGCCATAGGACATTCGCAATGCCATGATTCCTCAGATGGATGGCCAAGCTTTGAGGAAAGGGGTACACTGTTTTCTTGAAGGCTCCTAAGTTGTTACAATTTAGAAATACTGGTGAGGATACATGTTGTGCAACATAAAAGTTATGTGTAATGCTCCTTTTAGTCAATAGTCAAGAATCAAACAATGACAGTTTAGCACTCTCTAGATTCATGTGATAACAGAACTTTAATTTTTGATAAGACTGATTATATAAATTTTGAGCCATCATAAGAAGGAAGCTGGTATTTAGGATGTTTGGCCTAGAGTTGCGAGCAGTATTCCGTGTGGCCGATACTGCGCCATATACCTGTAGGATATGGCATTGACGTCGTAATGACAAAAGCTAGGTCTAAGGGGGGGGGGTCAGCTACCATTAAAATAGTCTCATTTGTAGTAGTCATATCTATCCTACATTTTAGGAGCAGCCAGCGAGGGTAGCTACCCCTTTTCGCTAAGGGAGGGGCCCCGGCGACGCCCACGATCGATGAGCTAGCGTGAAATATTGCTCGACTGTTACGAGAACACCAGTCTGTGTGCATTGTCTTACTTGGAAATTGCAATGTAGATATCGCATTTATAGGTATTATTATTATTATAGACATTCATTTTATAGAATTAAAAAAATAAGCGATTTTAATCTATAGTTTAGTACGAGACACTAAAATACAGTTTTACTATCCCCTATTTACAGCTAACTACTAATTATTAACACACATTAACTAAGTAGACACAAAATTACAATATAATATCATAAAATATATTTGAGTAAAATAAAAGGGTATCATGCAATTTCATACCCGAACTGCAAAGGAGTCTTTTAACACCTAAAGATTTTCTACCATTTCTATTACTCATGTTAAGAAAACTCGTTACTCTAAATAAATAAATAAATAGATAAGCAGTTCACAAATGCAAATTATTATTTTTATAACGAAGAATCATTAAAACCACAAAGTCAATATCATTTGACACTGTTTTTTTTTTATTGGCCACTACCCACCTGCCACTAACTAAATGGACAGGCTACATATGCAATCTATGGTATTTTGTGACTATTTAATGGGACCTTCTTCAACTTGTTCTCTTTTCCATAATAACATACGGTATACAGCTTTGAACATGATGCGATACTCTCAGGAACTCACGATTTAGAGGTTATTGTTCGTGATAATTTTACTTATTGAATTTGTAGGTAAACGAATCTCTCTCTCACTGCTCACTTTCAACGAAGCTGTCAGCCTTCTTTGATAATTTTTCCCATTTGGCTCTATTCTAAACATCTTGATCTTAAACTTGGTGCTCGCCCAGGTCTTTCAGCACCACATACTAAACCACCTTGTTATGAGACTAACTCTTCGAACGCAAAGGTCTCATCTTGTTAGCGATGCCGCAACAACGAGGCTGTTTTTTTTTTCTTACTGGTAACTCGAAAAACTATAGCGCTCTGTTGTCAATGTCAAAAACTGCCATACTGACACTATTGACTATTGTCATTTGGAATTGTCATCTGAATCTGTCATGCGGTACGGCGAGAAAAGAAATAAATAGATAGTTGTTGAAAAAGTAAGAGTGAGTTTCAGATTTGCGAAAACATTTGAAAATTGTTCCTATAAGTCATAAGCCGACCAAATCGTGGGAGGACAGCTGCAGCTTGTACCTTAATTTCATACTATCTTCGGTTAAATAGTACGAAAGAAATAACCGCCACTGTCAATTTCATTTCAAACCATATACAAATACATATAATATATTACATACGTATATACGTATTACGCATTTAGAATTCGTACAGCATAAAAATCTTAGTATTGTAAATTGGAAACATTGTCTTTCTTTCCACTTCAGCACTCTATATACTATACTATATACTATACTCTATATATATACTCTTTGCTTTTGTTTAGTATTGTTGTGTATTAAGATGCGTTGTATTTGTTGTAGGATATTACGGATTTGTTGACACATCGTAGATAAAAATAAAAACAAAATGACGGATTTACCGTATAGCGTTGAATACGCTAAATCCTCGAGAGCATCATGTAAATTCTGCAAGCAAACAATTGATCAGGGAATAATTCGAATCGCTTTGATGGTGCAGGTTGGTATATTATTAATACAATATTATGATATTTATGGAACTGAGTGTGGATGATGTTTTATTACACCACTTACATGGTTTGGACTCCATTCAAGTATAATTGAAAAGTAAGGTTAATTTAATAAGGAAGTGCATATCCATGTTACATTGAAATCTCTTTAAGTTTCATTAATTTCCCTACTTGGAGGATAGACATTATTTTGTTGCTTTCCTCTACTTAGTTTTGGCAATGTTTATTATAATGATATACTATAAATGGGCCTTTATAATTTAAATATATTGTGCAATTTTCATAATTTCCAGTCCCCATTTCATGATGGCAAACAGCCTAATTGGCATCATTTAGACTGCATCTTCTCAAAGAAACCCCCTACAGCTATAAGTGAGATTGCAAATTTTAACAAAATCAAACATGAAGATCAAGAAACAATTAAGAAGAAAATTAGTGGTATATATCTTGTTTAATTATATATTTAAAATGAGCTGTCCACAGCAAACTTCATTAGCTCACAATTATAAATCGCAAACAAAAAAAGAGCAATTATTAAAAATAAAGAAAATATTTTTAGCAATAAAAATATTTTCTTTTGCCTGTCTATTATCTGTCTATCTTGCAATTAAAATTTTGTATGCATGTATAAATCGGATGACAGTTCAATCTTACTATGACCTATGCCTCTAGCATCTCAAGCTCTGTAGCTGATCTGATGATGGAACTGGAAGGTAGCTTTAGAAACTACATAATTAAATGACACAACCCCATCTAGCTTCGGCTTGTTTGATTTGTTTCAAAGTGTATCTTGTTTGGTTTATATGCAATCCCATTGAACTATGCTATAGTAAATATCAAAATAAAAATACTGAAAAAAATGAAATTAAAGGAAAAAAAAATTAAAAACAAGCTTTTTAACTTGCTTAAATCTTTTCTATCTGTAACAATGAAAATCCCATTAAAGTAATTTATTGACTGAAATGGAGATTAACATTTGGAACATGTTTTATTGCTATCTTAAAATTGATTAGAAGAGTGATTTGTTAACTGGTTTGTATTCATCCTGGAAGTGATGCAATAGTTAATTTAGTCAACAATGGTTTTAAAATTATGTATTCTGATGAAAATATATGTTTTAGGTGAAGACAAGGGTACTAAAAGAGGGAAAGCGAAAAAGAATGGAGCCATGCCATATACTGTAGAGTATTCCAAATCAAGTAGAGCTACTTGTAGACATTGTGATATAAAAATATGTAAGGTGGGTTATTTCAAATGTTTTTATTTAATCTAGATGTGAGAGACACATACTTAAAATTGTTGGCATGAAATAAAACCAATATTTCCATCAATGGAATTAAGAAAGAATGTGTGAGAAGAGAAAAATGTGATGATTTTTAGACAATTATTTACATTATTATAAATTTTTTTAGGATGAAATCAGAGTTGCCAAAATTGATTATGATCCAAAGTATGGGGATCATCCTTTGTGGCATCATCTTAAATGTTTTGCTGAAAAAAAGATTGAATTAAATTTTCTTGGAGGTGGAGAAGAACTGCCTGGTTTTCAATCACTTAAAAAGGAGGATCAAGATATTGTTAAACAAGAAATCAAGTATGTAACTATTTTTTTGTTATTTGACCAAAACAATTTGTGATTATCTTACAGTCAAATACTGAAACAAAATTTAAATAAAATATTTTAAATAATAATGCCACACTTAAAGTCCAGATTCAATACAAATTTTGACAACTGACAGATTGATTCACTTACGAAGTAAAATGTTTAAGATTGGTATCAGTATTCTGTCCATCACCTCATAAAATGTTAACGAGTGGAAACAAACCCTGCAGATATAATTATAAATTAATGCACTGTATTTTTTTGTGATATGTGAATCTTAAAAAACTAAACATAATGATTCACTACAAAAAACTGTTCTTTTTTAGGAGTTCGGAAGGTGATGAAGTGCCAATAAAGAAGATAAAAAAAGAACCAAAAGAAGAAGAAGATGTGAAAGCAGAAGCTGAGCTTAAGAAGCAGCTAGTGAAGCAGAGCAAGCTATATGATAAGTCAATAGATGCATTAAATAAGTTCACTAAAAATGAGCTTCATGAACTCCTACAAGCCAACTATCAGGACATACCTTCGGGGCGCAATGAGGTATAATTTAATACTCATATATAACCAAATAAGTAAACCAAGATCAAACTTGAATACTATAAAATTAGTATAATATTGTTTTTAAATAGATTTTCATAAATTTATACAAAATATAAATTTATATAAATATAAACAAAAATACTTGTGTATCAAAATAGGCTCAAATGGTATTCCATGGTCTCTGCCTACTAATCTGGGTAACAGGCATCATTGTAATGTAGTATTAATAATGCGTTTTTTACATTACTTTTTGTTACCAGTGCTTGAATCATTTAGCTGACTGCATGGCGTTTGGTGTACCTGAACCGTGTCCTGAATGCAAGAATGGCCAGTTAGTACTCGACACTTTCTACTACAAATGTACAGGTAGTTATTTTTTGTACAAAACCAAATATGTTGTCGTTACACTACTTTTCTTTCTCGGCCTCCAGCTTGTAAATAATGCTTAAAAATCGTGATTTAAAACTTAAATAAGTATTATTTATTAAGTAGTATTATTTATATATTTTATTATTTAAGTATGTTTTATTATTGTACAAGTATTTTATATTACTATGTATATAAAAATATGTTTATTTTATTTTATTTATATATAAAAGCCAGCCAGACAGTCAACATAACTTAAAAATATAATAATAAAATAACCAGGCTGATTTGATAAAATTGGTGTTTGTTATTTTTTAAGGAAACATGAATGAGTGGTCGAAATGCGCTTACAAAACCAAGGATCCAAAGAAAAAGAAAATGATTGTGCCATCAGAGTTCAAAAAACATTCCGCTTTCGTAAAATATAAGCCTAAAGTGACAACACGGATATTTGAAAGTGAACCTCCACCTACTTCTACAGTTAAAAAGGAAGAGCCAATGGAGTAAGTGTTTTCGTACTTCATAACAATACAATATATGCATTCATCGCATACTTTTCCTTCTCCGTTTTTACCATTTTAATATTGGTATTGTTGTATAATTGTTTTTACATATACCATTTTGCCTTTAGGGACACGAAACCAAAACCAGTTGCTCCTTTGAAGAATCTTCAATTTTTCCTGTTAGGGAAATTCAAATCGTCTAAAGAGGAAGTCAAGAATCGTATACTGAAGCTAGGAGGTCTCGTTGTGTCGAAGATAACGGACACCACGGCGGCAGCGGTGTCCTCTAAGAATGAAATAAAGAAAATGTCGGCAAGAATGGAAGAATTACGCGAAAAAGATATTGAGGTAAAAATATTGAATAGTACTTCACAAGATGTTAACTTTCCTATCAGTGTATTAATAAAATTTATCAATTTCGTTATCATTTCTAGGTAGTGGAAGAAACATTCCTTGATTTAATTGACCCCAAAGAAGGCACAGTATCGGAGAGTCTACGACTAATAAGAGAAAATAATATCGCCGATTGGGGAACTGATGTAAGTATAAATGATCATTGAGAATTTCGAATTATTACTAACTAACTGTTTCTCGTGACATCATTCATGTCGAATTAAAAAATAGTAAAAAACATACCTATACTACTCAGTGATAACATAGCTTTTAATGGTGAAATAATTTTTGAAATTGGCCCAGTCATTTTTTAGTTTCAAATCTTTCCTCTTTATATTATAATATTAGTATAGATATGTTTCCGTTGCAAGTATATTTCCTTTTCTTTTCCTTCGTTTGTTCATAAAAAAACAATATTAATTTGTTAAAATCTATTTGATTTTTAATTTTTGTATTTTTTTTATGCAGCCAAGTAAACGCATACCGCAAGACGTACTCGATGGAAAGTCGATACAAAAATCAGGAAGTCAATATGTAAAATCAAAATCTGGAATCGCAAAACTGAAAGTTAAAGGTACTTAGTGTAATATTGAGTTTAAGTCCTAGACTCACATTATCTTACTTGCTGAATATTCTACTAGACATAGTGATATAGAAATAAAAATAAAAAATATTTCAGGTGGTATCGCTGTCGATCCAGATTCCGGTTTGGAGGACGAAGCGCACGTGTACAAAGACGCGGCCGGCACCAAGTACAGCGTCGTCCTCTCCAAGACAGATGTTGTCGAGCAGAAAAACTCCTATTACAAATTACAGATCCTTGAAAGCGATAAAAGGAAGAAGTATGTGAATTCTCACCTTGAACTAATGTTCCCCGGTTTTGATTCCCTATTCTAATTGGATCTCATTTAGTGACCAATTAACGACTGAAAATGTCAGTAACTATACGATGTCTAAAATTATAAGAGCTTTAGTAGTTTTTATCTATAATATATTTATACCATATATGTTTAATTACTTATTTTTACATATAATATATTTTACATGATTTTTTATATATATAAGAAATAACATAAAACATATTATATAAAAAAAATAGAACTCCACCGGCTGCGGAATCCGATGACTCAAGCAACCAGTGGTCAGGGCTGCAGAGACAGGAATCTCCTTACTATTGCGGTTTGTAAAATAACCGCCTTTTGTATCGGGCCCTTAATCCAACTGTCTAGCGAGAGCTTCTTGAGATGTTGTTCGAAGCTCTTCCCTATCAGCCCGTGTACCGAAACGACTATCGGAATAATGGTAGTCGATTTCATACGCCACATGGCGGTAATCTTGTGAGCCAAATCCAAATATTTTAATAATTTTTCATTTTCGGCTTTCACGTCATGTGGGATAGTGATATCGACTAACATTACACAACCTTAGACCGACCTATTATTACTATATCAGGCCTATTGGCAGCAATAGTCCTGTCTGTAATAATAGATCGATGCCAGTTGAGCGTGATACGGCTATTTTCCAGAACTGGTGAAGGCTGATATTGGTAATATGGTACCTCAGATTCCACAAGAGCATATTTAAGGACAAGTTGCTGATGGATAATCTTGGCCACTTGGTTATGTCTATGCAAGTATGCACCGTCCGCAAGGCGAGAACAACCGGAAACGATATGTCTAATAGATTCACCGGGCCGACGACATGCCCGACAAATGTCAGTCGTACCATCCTTTAGGATATGTTTCCGGTAGTTATTCGTTACGATGACCTCGTCCATGATTGCAAATACAAAACCTTCAGTTTTATCTATATTATTATAAAGACAAAGATTTGTATTTTGGTATGTATTAGAATAGCTCAAAAACTGCGTGGCCGATTTCACCATTAAAAAGCTACGTTATCATACGTGAATAACATAGACTATATTTTTTATTTTCACGCGGGCGAAGTCGCGAGCAACAGCTAGTGTTAACATAAATTATCAATCTAATGTATATGTGGAACTTTTAATTACTGACTGCTTATTTTTTTTTTAAATTTCAGGTATTGGCTATTTAGGTCATGGGGTAGAATTGGTACCCCCATTGGTGGGAAGAAGCTTGAGGATGTGCCGCTGCAATATGCAATTAACGAATTCGAAGCTTTGTATATGGATAGGACGCAAAATCCGTGGGACGCCAGAAATAATTTTAAAAAGGTATGTTAGTTTCAATGCAGAACAATTTACCGAAACTGCTTATGTTCTTGGTTGTAACTAGTGACAGCTTGTCTCAAATAATAATAAAACAGCTTGGAAGAACATATAGGCTATTTAATTAAGTTTTATTCAATTCCATTCGGGTAGAGTCGCGAGCGAAGACCAATCATACTTCATACTAATATTATAAATGCGGAAGTTTATAGGGATGGATGGATGTTTGCTAGAGTTTGTAGCCTAAACCGCTGAACGGATTTCAATGAAATTTGGTATAGATGCAGAGAATAGTCTGGAAGAACACATAGGCTACTTTTGTTTGTTTTTTATTTTACGCGGACGGAGTCACGGGCGAAAGCTAGTAAACGATAAATGTATAAAATGCCTTCAACAGATTCCTGGTGCATACTTCCCCATCGACATGGACTATGGCGACGACTCAACTTCAACTGTGCTCGAAATAGACACAGTCAACTCCAAGTTGCCTGTCCCCGTGCAAAAACTTATCATAAACATATTTGATATTCACATCATGAAACAAACTCTGATGGAATTTGAAGTAAGTTACACTGATCATGTTACGATGACGTTATCTATAATTATGTTATATAGAGGAATTACCCAATCTGGTAATAATAACGAAGTAACGGCCCGAGCCGAGGCTCCTGAGGGAGCCCTCGAGCTTAGTTACTCATAAAAGAGGTTTAGGCTAAGCGCCATCTGCGCTCGGCCACCTCAAGCCCGGTGAATCTGTAAATGCCTCTTCAAGGCAAACAGTGACAACTCAGTCACAAAAAAAAAAAGAGGAATTATTTGTATTTTTGTATTTTGTATGTATTACAAATAACTAAAAACTACTGGGCCGATTTCCAATATTATTTCACCATTGAAAAGCTATCAGTGAGTAAAAATAAACTCAAAACTATAACATACGAATGTATAAATATCTACACTAATTTAATAGGAAAGAATTGTGTGTTTATGTCAAATTAACTAAAAAATTACTTAGTCTATGTCAAATAATACTTTATTGCATTTTATCTTTAGCTTGATATGGACAAAATGCCTTTAGGAAAACTGTCCAAGAAGCAAATAAAATCCGGATACAATGTATTATCAGAACTGCTGAATCATATCAACGAGGGTAAAGCCAATGAAAATAAAATCGTGGACGCAACCAACAGGTAAATAACTTACTGTGTACTGTGTGGACATGTGAATAATTTGACCAGGAATAACTCGCCATATAACCATATATGAATATATGAATATAACACCTATTTTAAAATTTTAATTATACACTTAACTATATTTTTTTTTATTTAGAAATATTAGTAGATTTTTGTTAATTTACTAATAATCATAATGTTAATTTAACCATTCCAACTAAGCTCAAGGCTTGTGCTAGGGTATGGTCACGACAATAGTCCAATGGCGGGATTCAAAATCTCGACCGCAAGATCGCTAGTCCGTTCCTCAAACCTTTAGGCTATCGGCGCTTAAAAAGCACATTAGAAAGTGATATAATGAAAAAGGCGATTAAAGCACCAAGCCAGCATTATTGCATTCTTTAAGCCATATTGTCATCCTTTTGCCCATTAAGAGAATAGATATAGTATGACAATATACTTTTTTTAACATCACTCATGGCTTTAGTGTAATGAGCAATTATTACAGGTTCTATACGCTGGTGCCTCACAGCTTCGGCACTGACAATCCGCCATTGTTAGACAACGCCGAAGCAATTAAAACTAAAACAGATATGCTGGATAATCTACTTGAAATTGAAATTGCTTACAATTTACTTAAGACTGGTATGTTATACATCCAATTTAAATACTTTACTGCCGTACTTAGATAATTTTATAGTTACTTAAACCCTTAAGGATAGTGTAGATGTTTCTTACTTAATCAATGTTAAGAAAATCTATTAAACAACTAAATGCAGTTATAGTTAATAACCTTAAGTCAAAACAATGTTCATAGTGTCCTTTCGTTTCTCTTTAAAATTTAATATTTAAGTGTTTTTTATACAATTTGAATAATTTCCGTTTTTCAGAACATGATGATGATGATGATAACAATTCACGAAGTGCGATAGAATCCCACTATATAAAATTGAAGACTGAGATCACTCCGCTGGATGTCAAATCACCTGAATACGAACTCATCTTGGAGTACATGAGAAATACACACGCCGAAACACATTCCTCGTACAATTTAATTATTGAATCGGTTAGTATATACTTATGTTTTCCTTAAAGTGTATTAATAACTTCCAAGTTGGACTACTTGGTTAATGCCTACATATATATAGACTATATTTTTTACAGAAGTAAACCTTACTGTTCTTTATACTTTTTTTATTTTATTTGTTGTGCTCTTTTATTTATTATTAAAGTTATAAAATTTAAAACTTGCTTTAATTGAATCCAAGGCATTCAAAGTGGTTCGCAACGGTGAAGAGAAACGCTTCAAGCCATTTAAGAAACTGCACAATAGACGTCTGCTGTGGCATGGATCTCGGGTCACCAACTTTGCTGGAATTCTATCACAGGGTTAGTTAGTTAACGCAGAATAAATGTGCTTAAAACGTCCTAATTCGAACGTTTAAGCCGATCTTGCCTCTCTATCAATTGCTGCGCGTTCTCCCTCGCACTCGCCCCGTGCGGAACATGACAATAATTTATGCTTTTACATGCAGCATTTCTAAGACGTTATCACGTTAAAAATACCAGCTTTGTAATGTTACATGATTAATATTTAATTGTAATAAGCACTTGTTTAATAAGTATTTATTGTTAAATTGTCATTTTCATAACAGCTTATTCCTATATATCTCTGGTGTTATGAATGAAGATCTAATTAATCTTATATTATGAAATTGAATACGATTTCCGTGTGCAGGTCTGCGCATAGCGCCGCCCGAGGCGCCGGTTACGGGCTACATGTTCGGCAAGGGGATTTACTTCGCGGACATGGTGTCCAAATCCGCGAACTACTGCTGCACCAGCAAGGCCAATCCCGTCGGTGTCATTATGCTCTGCGAAGTCGCGCTCGGAGATATGTAAGTTACTTTACCTTTATAGGTACTATAATAATAAAATAAAAAAAAACGCTTTATTAATAATATTAAAGTAAATAAATATGAATAAAACCATCATACTTCGTACTAACTCTAAATGCAAATGTTTAGATAGATAGATAGATAGATAGATAGATATCTGTAGATACCTTGAGAACAACTTTATCCATTCAGATGAAATTTGATGCAAATAAGAAAACTGAAAGCACAAAGGCAACTTGCTAGGTTTTCTTATTCTGTGTAGGTGAAATCGCGGTTAAATATCCATAATATCTTCTAAGTTTACCTTCATGGTGTTAATAGTGGTAAGATATGTGTAAAGTATTGCTTTGTGTACAGGATGAAGTGCTGCGGAGCGCAGTACGTGACGAAGCTGCCGAGCGGCAAGCACTCGACGTGGGGCGCGGGCCGCACGCAGCCCGACCCGGAGCGCGCGCGCACGCTGCCCGACGGCACGCTGGTGCCGCTCGGCCCGCCCGTACCCGCCGAAAAGAACAGCGCGCTACTCTACAACGAGTATCCTTTTTAACCGACTTCCAAAAGGAAGATGTTCTCAATTCAAAATTAAAAGAAAAAAAAACTGGTTTTAAAGGCCAAATTTAACTGGCCAGTAAGTTCGCATAAGTTAAGACTATACAGTGATAAAAAAAAACAGGTTGTTTGATCACCCTGTAATATTTTTAAGGGTTTTTTTTTTTTGTAAAAAGTAAAATTAGTGATGTTTTACCGCTTATGTGTGTCCAGATCCTCCATCAAGATGATTTAACCCTGTATTTTACATTTTTTGTGAAATATATGTGTTATTGTTGTATGTTTGCCTCAGTTATTGTTATAAAGTTTCCTTAGCACCAAAACCAGGTTCATCGTGTACGACGTGGCTCAAGTCAAAGCTAAGTACGTGATGCAGATCAAATTCGACTACAAGTACTAGTTGCTATTTTGCAATTTTTACGTCAACTTATTATTAGATTTACGTTAGTCATTAAATGACATTTATCTCATTCCTTTTTTTAAATGTGTCTTTTAAAGTTTTAATATTAAGTGATTATACGATATTATGTTACGTTTTATTTGCTTATGCTTCAGAACTTAATGGCGCTTCTCGAGAATTATTTTGTTTAAAATATTCCATTAATGTTGATTTTTGCGTTTTGTTTACTCGTCGATGATTATGTGATTACAATGATGTTCGTTGTACTTATTAAAATCGTTTTATAAAAAAAGTGTTTTAATCTGATTGCCACTATCATCTAAATGTCTGGTTATATATCATTCCTAAGTAGGAAAACGATTATTCGGTTGCGTGTAACAAAAATAACATTCTTGGGTTGCTTGTTGCTTAAGATTCTAACAAATCATCTACTTCCCGATCCTTAATAAATGTATATGACACGTTATAAAAGGGATTTTTGTTTTATTTCATAAAAAAAAACAGACAATACATTACATTTTATTGGAAAACTAAACTTATGGTAATTTGAAACCATTTCCGGTTGCTTTATTTCTTATCCACAGAGGATAACCCCGTCCACAATAATCGTTAGTAGGTTACAAAATAGCTACACTAATTAATATGGCAAACACTATGGCATCTTTTACAGCTTTTATTGGCTTTTATGGTCATTTATGTCATTCGCCATTAAAAATTCATAAGCAGTGGTGACGTTACAGTCGCTTCGATTAATTATTCGGTGTGTTTGCTTAGCCATCCTTAGTGATGGACTCGAGTAACTCGAGTGATTTTTACTTACTCGGCCTCGAGTGAAATTTTTGACAACTCGAGTTGCGAGTGACTCGAATTACGAGTGATTCGTAACCACTTTGTTGATTTATACCAAGCGGAGTAAGAAATACTTCAGCAATTTCAGTTAAATTTGTTATCTTTTTAAAAATACACTATTTCTGTTCTTTTGTTGAATTTATTTAAGCTTCATTTAAGTTAATTTTAAAGCATGTTTATTATCCAAATTGTGTAAGAACATAATAAAACTCTTCATATTTGGATCTCATGAAAATGACTTGTTAGAATTAATTAAAATGGATTGGAACTTATTAGTAGTACACTATACAATTTCAACTAATACTTGATATAAGTTTCTTGATTATGTAGACAGGTTTAGTTTAAAGGAAAATACTATTTTTACACATTTTGTATAGATTTTTTGAGTAACTTTTACGTTAATGCGAAAATGATTTCTTTATGTTAAATTAACATTGTTTTGTTGTTTTTAAAATTTTGGTCACTTGATTTTTATATTCCGAGTGAGTCGCGTCTATAAACATTACTCGAGTCTTATCTTCACTCGAGTGGCATTCGAGTGAGAAAGTTACCAGTACCGAGTGACTCGAGTGAAAAAAAATCACTCATCATCACATCACTAGCCATCCTACTAAGTAGCGTGTGAAGTGAACGCAATGCATTCGAGAATCGTTCGAACGACATCCGATAGTCTATTAATGCATAATAATTCTATCTGCTAATCTATTACCGAGATTTTGTGTAATAACTCTAAATAAAGTCCACATTAAGTTTTTCCCTATTGTAAATCAAAACAAGGGCTTTATTTTTTTCTTCTAAAAGTTAAAACCAAAGAGGATATAATGGTATAAACGTCAGCGTGCAACACTTTTAAGTTCATGTCAATTATAATTAAATATAATTCCTGGTAACACTGAAAAGAAAATTAAGTAACATGACCCTGGAATTAAGCGCTTACAGCGATTGATTTTCATAAAAGAATCACTATGACGTTTGTGTACAAAACACTGTCTTGCTTGACAGAATAGTATATGTCTTGGCCTGAGTACTTTTGATAGTGCGCTAAATTAAATTTTGTGACACCATATAAACAATGTTTCAGTCTGATTTATTTCAATTCAGTTGTACATATAAGCTTGCCCATATAATAACTCTATTTAAATATTTGTGTTATTAAATAAGATCCATCAAGTAGTACAAGGTGAAAATCAAAGGTTTTTCGTAAATATGGAAGTGGATGTAATAAAATGGAACAACAAAGAAGTACTGGATTTATTACAAAGGGACAAACTTTCCAGCCATATAATCGACGTTTGTCGATCACAGGATATTGATGGAAAGTGTCTTCTTTCATTTATTGATCGAGATTTTTATGAATATCCGTTTGACCAACTTAAACTTGGTGAAAGGAAGAGGTTTATTTTGTTAGTGAAAAAGTTACAAAAGAAAAACCGTATTTCCATGTACGAACTGGGACTGTGTGATGATCCTGTGTTTAACAATCCGGCTACAAACATTAATTTCCTGGGAACTAATTTGTCTCATTTAAGTTATAACCTGCACAATCAATTGCAGAATGAAATTTCTTATAGCAAAACTACAGATTGCATTTCAAATTTCACTCCTGATGTGAAAGCTTCCAAATTAAAACCAGAAGTTTGGAAAACTTGTATAGCTCTTGGTGTGTATGTTATTGATTTTACTTTTCACAATAATGTTGCTGAAGAACTGGAAATGAATATATAAGTTATACATTTTCCAGGTTATGTGTTTCTGGTGACATGGGTTACCGCTGTTGTAATGGTGATAGTGCATGATAAGGTGCCAGACATGAAGAAATATCCTCCACTGCCAGACCTCTTCCTTGACAATGTGCCACACATACCATGGGCTTTTGATATGTGTGAGATTACTGGATCTCTGCTGATGGCAATATGGGTCATTGTTCTCTTCTTCCATAAACATAGGTCAGTTCTATTTGGAATATTTAATTCTATAATATAATTTACTATTGTCAAGCTAATTGATCTAAGTTTAAAAAAAAAATTACAATTTTAAAAGCATCTACATATCTATCTAGTTTAGGCGACAGCCAGTTTTTTTTTTCACGGTAAAAGGATTTCAATACTAAAGTAAACAAAAGCCAAACATACTTGTTAGGTATATGTTCCATTGTAAACTTTTAACCTCCTTTAGCTCTATGCTTGTTGTACAAAGGAATTATAAAATAAATTTCTCCCTGACAGTACTTATGCCATATCAAACTGTAGATGTTATTAAAACAATACCTAAGGTTGTCATGATTATCACTATTTGGTAAATTTTTCTTTTAGTCCAACAAAAGAAATGATTAATGAAAATAATATGAACCTTGACTAGATGTTTTTCATGATTAACTAGGTTATTGTGAATTCTATTAAATCCATTATGCAATGACTTAAGTTATAACTTACTAGAATTATACCATAAAATCTTTGTCCTCAATTTAACTCTATAAATTTCCGACTCTAACCAACTGACCCAGTTAAAGAAATTTCTAATCATACTTCATACTAATATTATAAATGCGAAAGTTTAGATGGATGGATGTTTTTTAGTACAGATGTAGGGAATATCCTGGAAGAACACATAGGCTACTAAATTTTTTTTTATTCATCGCAAATGGAGTCACGAAAGCTAGTTAAATTATAAAATATAATCTTACTAAATTTTTAGTTAAAAAAACAATGGTGTTAGTTCATATTTCTTTTGTTTTTACACAGTATTGTTAAGTAGTTCAATAATTGATAATATTTACTTTTGTGTGCAAAACATTTTAAAAGACAAGCTATATGTTATAAAGACATTGATAAGATTGATGTGTCACTGTTGCCCGGGCCTTTGATATCAATACAATGATAATCATTTTTATTTCCTCAATGATTCATTGAACTCTGTTATGTTATATCCATACACAATATATTTGTTTAAAAATTTATTCTATCAAAATGTGTGATAAAACACATCTGATGTGACAAGTCTTTGTCGGTTGCAATATGAAGCTTAGCTATTACTACCTTGAATCTTTAATAAAAAAAACACTGTAATTGTATAGTGTAAACTTGAAAACTTTGTTATAGGTATTTTTTATGTTTATTCAATCAAATAATAAGGTTTTTTATTTACTAAAGTAATATTAGATTACATTGTTAGTTATAAATCATCAGGTTTATAATTTTACGGCGTTTCTTCGCGCTGGCGGGGACCGTGTTCCTACTACGTTGCTTCACAATGCTTATAACGTCGCTCTCCGTGCCGGGGTCCCACTTGAAGTGCGAGCCTCGCTTCTACCCTCCCGCTGATGATCTCACCGTGTGGGGGCGGCGGCTCCGGCAAGCCTACGACATCTGGAGCGGCGCGGGCATGTCCGTGCGCGGGGTACGCACCTGCGGGGATTACATGTTCTCGGGCCACACTGTCGCCTTGACCCTACTCAATTTTTTTATCACTGAATGTGAGTACTATTTGTTTTATCAGTAATTTTTGTAAATTCTTATGTTTTTATGTAAATATATTGATTGGATCTAACAGTACATTTTTTGCAAACATTTTTTGATGGTAATGTCGTAAAGAAGATTACGGAAGCTTGACGACTTCCAAATTGGTGTTGATCAGTAAATAATCATCACTTTTTTATTTTACAAATATAGTTTACGTGTATAAAAACACTTTCCAAGGACATATGGCATTACCAAAATCACTGCATTTTTAAATTAAACCCCATACACACGATCTTACTCCATCATATACTGAAGCCTTTTATCGTTATATTCATCCATATACACGTGCAATAAAGGCATATTTAAAATTTTTTATCTATCGGTATAATATAAAAAATAATTCAGTCACGTTATACTAGTTTTTATTTAATTAAATATTACGCAACTTTTAGATTTTGCATGTTTTTCCTTTATATCTGTTTACCAACATCCTGCTGGCTAATATGACGGAAAGTCCCTGATACAAATATGTCATAGGATTTCACATTCACGTAATGCTATTGTAAGGGTTTGTATACTTCTATATTAGTAAAGTATTAAAATAAGAACATAAACTAAGCTAGGTACCAAATGTTTTTTCTATGTTATTAAAAATTAAAACATATCGAAAATCAATGGTCACATCACTAATCACTGATTTATTGTTTTCAATACTTTCAAAAGCTGAGAGGTTTTTTTAAGCTAACAAACTCTGCTATCTCTGAAATATTCTTATTCTAGTTACGAGAGATAATCAACACCCTATGCCATACTACATTGTATTATGCGTTTGTCCATTATTTATTTATCTAGTTATTTTATATGTTTCTACATCGATGGAAACTAATGTAAATATGAATTATAATTTATATATTTACATAGTAATTTAACTCACACCAACATAATAT